TTTTGAATTTAACTTAATTATTTTAAAAGGAGCTGGGCTTGTGGCCAGTGGTTAAAATTTTAAAACAAATGAACTAGCTTCTTACTGACCATTACAATGCACAGCCAGAATGGACACCTACTGGAAACAGCAAAAACCAGACCATATAAATTTGAACCAGCACAAGACAACGCACTTCACAGGGACGCTCCATAGCACGGTGGATATCACCTAGAATCATACAATCCTTACAGTGAGGAAACAGGCCCTTCGGCCCAACAAGTCCACACAGACCCTCAGAGCATTCCACTCAGACCTATCCCCCTATAACTCACCTAATCTACACATCTCTGAACACTAAGGGCAATTTAACATGGCCAATCCACCTAGCCTGCACATCTTTGGACTGTGGGAGGAAACCGGAACACCCGGAGGAAACCCACGCAGACATGGGGAGAACGTGCAAACACCACACAGGCAGTCGCCTGAGGGTGGAATCGAACCTGTGTCCCTGGCGCTGTGAGGCAGCAGTGCTAACGAAATGTCTGCTATCAAACCTCCTAGCTCGGCGAACACACTAACATCTACAATGTGTTGTAGCTTACTCCCATCAGGAATATTGACAGTCATTAGAGAGCTACTCATCAGGAATCTGCACTTCCACTATCATGATTTGAGTGGCTGGCAGATGGAGAGCTGTGGCTGCCTGCTTGAAGTGCTGGGTGGTAGAGGAATGGGCTGGATTTTACTGTAGGAACTGGTATGGCCAGCTCCCACCCAACGTATCCACAGCTTAAAAACAATGGTGCTCAACCCCTGCAGCATTCATGGGTCGGAGTAGGTGGACTCCTGTGGTGGACTCCTGTCTGAGTGTACCTTGCATGAATGGAATTCCACATTGACCTGTGTTCCAGAACCTCCCTCAGGGATTTATTCCCCACGGTCAACCATCTGATGAAAACTCCCACAGTGTCTTTCCATTGGCATGGAGGGGATTCCTGTTTATCTGCTGCACACCCTCCACTTCAACTTCATCTCCCACCATGCCTTGGTGTTCTTTCTTACTGCAGGGCAGCGATGCTCCCAGTCGAGGGATCACTGAATGGAAGTCCTTCAGCTTTCCACTGAGGACCTGCGAGCAACAATCCTATATAATTGTAGTTAAGGCATTACACTACTTACAGGCCAGCTATCTTTTCTGTGATGCTGTGGAGTCCATGGACCACGTGTATATATTTTGTGGGAGGATGCATCCCCTTTTCAGTTATTTAAAAAGTCTTCTGTTTTTTGTTTGGTTACATTTTAGCCTTGCACTGCTGATATTTGGGCACCTGGTGTAGAGGAGGCTGGGGCAAATCAGAGGGACCACTTCGTGGTTCCGCTGTTGGGCCTGCCAAGATGCATATTAACAGGTTTAGGCAGCAGGGCTGTGGAGGAGTTGAGATGAGATGACTGATCTCTAATGACCACAACCATATTCATTCATACTAGGTTTAACACCAACCAGGGGAGAGCTTTCCTCAGATTTTCATTGGCTTTAGATTTGCTTGAATTCCTTGATGCCACACATGAGCAAGTATGGCCTTGCTGTCAAGGTCAGTTACCTGTGTAAATAAGGTCTTTTGTGCATATTTGAAACAAGGCCGTAATTAGGTCAGAAGCTAAGTGTCCTTGTTAGAACCCAAATACAGTGTCAGTGAGCAATTTATTGCCAAGCAAGTCCTACTTGATAGTATCGTTGATGGTTGGATTTGTACAGGACATATCTGGGCAATTTTCCAGGTGTTTGGGAAGATGCCAATGTTGTAGCCGTACCGAAATTGCTTGGTTAATTTGGAAGTTGCATCGAATTTGGGAAAACAGGTCTTCAAGTACTATTGTGAAAATATTGTCAGGTCCATAGTGTTTGCAGTATCGTATGGAACAAATCAGTTGATGTGAAGACTGACATCTTTGAAGGTGTGGACCTCTAGCGTGGCCGAGATGGATCATCCACCTGACACTCCTGGCTGAAGATTGTTGTGTTTACTTCAGCTGTATCTTTGTACTGATGTGTTGGACTGCCTCATTATTTAGGATAGGGATATTTGTGGAACATCTTCCTGCATTAAGTCACAACTGGATATGGCAAGATTACAGATCTGATCTGTTGTTTGTGCAGTTGAGTACTGTTCAAAATCTATTCCATTTAGCGTGGTTGCAGTGTCATGCAAAATGATGGAGGATATCCTTAACGTGAAGACGTCTCCACCAGGACTCTGCTTTGGTCAGTCCTACCAATAATGTCATGGACAACTGTACCTGCACAGGCAGATTGGTGAGGATGAGGTCAAGTATGTTTTTCCTCCTTGTTGGTTCTGTCAGCATCTTCCACAGATTCACTTAGCAGCCATGTCCTTTCATCCAAGTGGTGTTCAACGTTCATCAGCCAATGAATGGTTAATAGCAGGAAGTTTCCTTGCCCTTGTTTGACTGATACCATGTGACTTCATGGGGTTTGAACGCAATGTTGAGGATGCTGAGGGTAGCTTGCTCCTTACTGCGTAGTACTATGCTGGCCCCCTGTGCTCTGTCCTGCTGGTCAGATAGGACATACCCAGGGATCATGATAGTGGTGTTAGGAATATTGTATGTAAGGTGTAATTTCATGAGTATGACTTTATTCACTTGTGGAATGTGAGCCTCACTGTTTGGCCAGCATTTATTGCCCATCCCTACTTGACCTTGAGAAGGTGGTGGTGAGCTGCCATCTTGAACTGTTGCAGCCCATGTGATGTACCCACAATGCCATTAAAGAGGGAATTCCAGGATTTTGATCCAGCGACTGTGAAGAAACAGCGATATATTTCCAAGTCAGAAATGTGAGCGGCTTGGAAGGGAACTTCCAAGTGGTGGTGTTCCTATGTATCTGCTGCTCTTTTCCTTCTATAGAAGTAGTCATGGGTTTGGAAGGTGCTAAGGATCTTTGGTGAATTTCTGCAGTGCATCTTCTTGTGTATACAGCTGCTACTGAGTCTTGATGGTGGAGGCAGTGCATCTTGTGTATGTGATACCAGTTAAACAGGTTGCTTTGTTCTGGGTGGCATCAAGCTTCTTGAGTGTTGTTAGCTGCAACCATTCAGGCATGTGGGAGTATTCCATCACACTCCTGACTTGTGTCTTGCAGGTGGTGTACAGGCTTTAGGGAGTGAGGAGGTGAGTTGCTTGCCACAGTATTCCTAGCCTCTGACCTGCTTTTGTGGCCACTGTATTTATAAGGCATGTCCAGATAGTTTCTGGTCAATGGTTTCTGGTGAGGCTGTTGCCTGACTAGTGAGACAGCTCTCCAAGTTTTGCCATTCGTCCCAAGGTGTCGTAAGGAGGACTTTCCAGAGTCAACAATTTGAGTTTGCTGTTGTTGTTTCTGATTCTCATTCTGTAAATGTGACTGTCAGGCTGTTGATGGGCTAGTTTGTTTAATAGTGTTCTAAATTTCAGTAAAAGCCCTGAGACTGCTGAGACATTGGTCATTGAATGACGGAAGTATCATGAATTGAGTGGTTTCGGAGGTTAATTATGTCTTGATGTAGATATAGTATTTAAAGATATATTCACTGACCTTGGCCATTCGTCATGTTAAACTTCTCACGGCACTGCATCCAACTTCTCAGGCTTTACTCCTAATATTGATCTCTATGGCTATCTGCTGTTTCTGGGTCGAAATTTTTTTTATGTCAACAGTTCCTCTTAAGATTTCTCAAGGGCTGTACTTTGGATTTTTAGGGCTCTGTTTTATTTTCAGAGGCTACCATTTTATTCATACTAACCCTGTTGTTAGATGAGATGCGATTATGTAGTAATATTACCTTCAGTACTCGTGTTGACATATGGGGTGTTTGAACTCCTTGAAGTAGAATTGATCAATTTCCCCACAATTATCAACCTTCCTTTTTATTAAAAACCACAGCACACAGGGAAAACTTAACATTCTTGGACGCTACAGTATTTAAATTTGCAGAAGACACCAGCCATAAGTTACCAACAAATACATGACACATACTTTGTGAAAAGCACATTAATTTGGAAGGAATACATTACCTGTAGCTGCTATTCCTGGTGAGCTAGGTGTTTCTTTGTTAACAGGCTTCCCTCATCAGCCTCCCTCCCCTTCCCCTTTGCAGCTATTGGGTTCCTCCCTTTCCTATAGGCAAACTGGCTATTAATAAATGTTAATAATAATAATCTATTAATAAAGCCTAGGATACTGTATATGTTGTGAACTGTGGTTTCAACCTGTCCCACCAGCTTTAATAAGTTATGCACATATACACTCAGGTCCCTCTGCTTTTGCATGCCCTTCAGATTGTATGCCTTACTTGCTATTTTCTCTCCATGTTTTTCCTATCAAAATGTATCACCTTTACACTGCTCCATATTGTACTTCATTTGCCATCTATTCACCCACTCCAATTTATGTCTTCCTCCAACTATTATATTTCCAACACTTAGAATGTTTCTTCTTTGGTAAATCTCAAGCACTTGGAAATGTGCATAGGGAAGATCCAAGGCAATATAAATGAACAATATCAAAATGTGAACTGATCTTGTGGAACAGGAAGTGAGGACAGCAGAGAATAAAACTGAGTGGAGACCAATTGTACATAGCATGGCCAACCTCCGTATGAGGATGGATGAAAGATGAGACAAACTTCTGTTCAAACTTCTAATCAAATTTTACTGATATACAGTTTCTCTGTAAGCCCTGCTCCTAAAGTGGAAACATCGGAGAATCAGCAGCATTGATGCATGTTGAAAATCTTCTATGCAAGTTATAGTTTGTGCACATAACATGGTTACCAAATAACAACTAAAAATAACTAAAGTATGCCTCAAGAGTATCTTACAAAGCCTGAGGTTGAAGAATTGTTTGACACTGAAACATAAACTTTACGTCTGTTCTTTGACCAGTTACTTCAAGTTATGTTTATAATGCGGGTTTTTGTAAGCTTAGTAATTTGTTGAATTTATGCTTTTTTTTTTAGCTGGGCAAACGTCTTTGATCAACTTTCTTAGAGCTCCCTGCAGCTATGGCTACTCCTGACGTGAGTGTTCATGTGGAGGAAGTGGTTGTCGTGACAACACCTGACACCCCGACAGATGGAAATGCAGTTGAAGAGGTTAAGACTGTTTTGGTAGACTTCAAATCAACCCAGCCTAGGTAGAGAAACATGCTTTGATTAAAGTGTTTGATTAATGAAGTCATCAGATCTTAAATGCTTCCAAATTCTCCAAACAATAACGGCTTAATGTAACTTTACATTTTGGCAACAGTTGACATTATTGCAACCTAATTATATCAGTTACTTTACTTTTAATTTTTGCCAGTACTGTAGTAAGGATAGTAAGGATAATACTCAGCTTAAGATGGGATTTTCTTTAAAATAAATTGATAAATTCAGTTGTACAACTGTGAATCCTTTGCCTTCATGGATGTTGATTGTATCATGTGCTTGGGCAACCAGATAGGGTTGGTAAGAGATTGATTAACACGTTATTTTTCAGAAAGGAAATTTACTTTTCAGCTGATTAAAATCAATCCTAGAGATCACATTAACAATGACAATAATTTACAATTATGCAACACCTTTCTCACAGAAAAATATCTCAGACCATTTCATTGGATGATGCATAGGCTAAGCTTTAATCCATTTACCATCTGTATGCTGTGATTTTCACTTCAGCCAAGAATTTTCCATCTCCTTTTTGAAGACATGCAGCGACTCGACCAATGCTGCACAAGCTAGCAATGTACTCCAGGCAGCATAAGAGGAGCAGGAAAGTTGATGTTTTTGGGTCGGGATCTTTCTTCAGAAATGGATGAAGGAGGGTCCCGACCCGAAATGTCAATTTTCCTGCTCCTCTGATGCTGCCTGGCCTGCTGTGTTCCTCCAGCTGCACACCGTGTTATCTCTGACTCCAGCATCGACAGTTCTTACTATCTCCTAGCAATGTCTACACTATATTCTACAGGCTCACTACTCAATGCCTGTTTCTCTTTATGCATAGTTTATATGTATTTAATGCAACCATATTCCAGTTCGCCATCATTTACAGGAAAACGGTTCTTGTGTGCTTTTTAAGTAATATTCACAGTAGTTATAAGAAAAAGCAGAAAGGACAATTAGCTGATTGCAAAAGCCAATAAATGGTCAAAATTTTCAAAGTGCATTTACCATTGGCCAAACAGTGATTGTTCTTTTCTTAATCTGGATCATGTTTTCTGTTTTCAAAATCTCTTCAGCAAAGGAATGTTGCTGTTTAAAAAAAAAACAAAAAGACATACCAACAAAATTGGTGCTTTGTAGACTTTTTCCCATCGGGACCCCATCGTAGTACCTGAAAATTTCTGTGACTCTAGAACTGGGAAGGAAACCTAATAAGAGGGCTGGAATGTTGGTTAAGAATCAGTAACAATGATGAGTATTGGTGAGGTACCTGTGGTAGGGAGGTGCTGAATAAGGTGGAGATAGGGTTGTGGAGGGTTTGATGACCTGTGACAAGGGGTATGGTGTACGTGTGAGGACCTGTGACAGTGTGAGGGAGTTTATGGGAAGGGTTTGGATAACCGTGTGAGCAGGGGAGGGATGAATTGTTTAATCTATAGGGTTTAAGTAAAAAGCACCAACAGCTCTACAGGGTTTTTTATTCACTCATGGAATGTGAGCATCACTGGCTGGGCCAGCACTTATTGTATATGTCTAGGTGCCTATCTCTACTTCCAGAAGGCATTTGACAAAGTATCCCACAAAAGGTTATTCGTGAAAGCTAACAGCCCAAGGTAGAAGCTAGTTTATTGGTGTGAATAGCGAATTAATAACTGGGCAGGTAACAACGATTGGGGATAACCGGTTCTTCTTCAGGTTGGCAACGTACAACAGGTTCTACAGGGATCAGTGCTGGGACCGCAACTGATTAATGACATGGAGGAAAGAAGCGAAATGTACTGCAGCCAAATTTCCAGACAACACCAAAATAGGCGGAAAGGCAAATTGTGAAGGGGATACAAGTAGATTATAGAGAGATCAATAGACTACGTAAGTGGGCAAATAGTTGGCAATGGAGTACAATGTGGGAAAATGTGAAATTGTTCATTTTGGAAGAGAGAACTAAAGAACAGTATTATTTAAATGGAGAAAAACTGCAGAAAGCTGCAACACAAAGGGACTTGGGGGTAATTCTGCACAAAACACAGAAAGCTAACACACAGATGCAGCAGATAATCAGAAGGCAAATGGAATGTTGGCCCTATTTCAAGGGGGTTGCTGTATAAGAGTAGGGAAGTCTTACTGCAAGGTGGGACCACGCCAGCAATACTGTGAGCAGTACTCTTGTTTAAGAAAAGATATTATTTCATTAGAGGCAGTTCAGAGAAGATTCACAAGAATGATCCCTGTTATGGAGGGATTGTGTTATGAGCAAAGGCTAAACAGGTTGGGACTCTGTCACTGGAGTAAAGAAGAATAAGAGGTGATCTCATTGAAACATACAGGGTTCTTAAGGGAAACATAAACCGAAAGAACTGCGGATGCTGTAAATCAGGAACAAAAACAGAAGTTGCTGGAAAAGCTCAGCAGGTCTGGCAGCATCTGTGAAGGAAAAAACAGAGTTAACGTTTTGGGTCCGGTGACCCGAAAATGTTAATAGTACTTATCAGTACAAACCTGGATATTGTCCCATCATTGTGTATCTGGATATAGTCTGCTTCGATATCTGAAGAATTGAGAATTGGAGGTCAATCAAAAAGCAGCTGAAGATGGTTGGGCCTAGGATACTATGCTGAGGAACTCTGCAGAGAGCTCCTAGAGTTGAGATGACTGAGCTCAAACATCCATAATTATTTTGTGTCAGGTGTGATTCAACCAGTGGAGAGACTTTCCCGGATTCACATTGACTCCAGTTCAGTAAGGCTCCTTGGTGCCACGCTTGGTCAAATGCTTCCTTGGTGTCATGGACAGTTGCTCTCATCTTGCTTTTGGAATTCGGCTCTTTAGTCCATGTTTAAACTAAGACTGTAGTGAGGTCAGAAGCTAAGTGGCCCTTGGGGAATCCAAACTGTGTGTCAGTGAGCAGGTTATTGCTAGACAAGTGCTATTTCATAGCATTGTTTATGACACCTTCCATGAATTCACTGATGATTGGGAGTAGACTGTTGGAGCAGAAATCGGCAGAAGAAATCCAACCCGGCTTTTTATGTACAGGACGTACCTGTTTGGATTTCCACATAGGTAGATGCCAGTGTTGTAGCTGCACTGAAACAACTTGGCTAGGGATGTGGCATGTTTTGGAGCACAATTCTTCAGTACTATTGTATTTATTGCTGTAATATTGTCAGGGCCCGTAGGCTTTGCAGTACCTAGTGTCTCTGTTTGTTTCCTAATATTATGTAGAGTGAATCAAATTGGATGAAGATTTGCATCTGTGATGCTGGAGACCTGTTGCAGGAGGCCGAGATGGATCATCCACTTGGCAGAAGTTTCCGCCTTCCCTTTTCACTGATGTTGGGCTTCCTCATCATTGAGCGTGGGGTTATTTCCGAAGTGACCACCTCCAGTGAGTTGTTCAATTGCCCAACACCATTTATGACTGAATGTGACAGGACTGCAGAGCTTAGATTTGATCCAATGGGAATCACTTATCTCTGTCTGGCACTTGCTATTTATGCTGTTTGGCATACAAGTAAGTAATCCTGTTTCATAGCCTCACTAAGCTGATGCCTGATTTTTTTTTTGTATTTAGGTATGCCTGATGCTGCTGCTGGCATTTCCACCTGCACTCTTTATTGAATCAGGATAGACTTTCTGGGTTGATGGTCATGGTAGCCTGGGGGATATACCTTGTCGTGAGGTTACAGATTGTGTTGGAGGACAATTTTGCTGCCTCTAGAGTGGCATGGTAGCTCAGTGGTTAACACTGTTGCCTCAGAGTGCCAGGGACCCACGCCTAATTCTGCCCTTGGGTGACTGTGTGGAGTTTGCACGTTCTCTTCATGTCTGTTGGTTTTCTCTGGGTGCTCCAGTTTCCTCCCAAAGTCCAAAGATGTGCAGATTATTTGGATTGGCCGTGCTAAATTGCCCCATCATGTCCAGGGTTGTGCACGTTAGATGAGTTAGCAATGGCAAATGCAGGGTTACAGGGATAGGGTGGGTGGGTTCTCTTTGGAGGGTTGGTGCATACTTGATGGGTCGAATGGCCTTCATCTGCACTGCAGGGATTTTATGATTCTATGATGGCCCACAGCCCACCTCATGGATGCCTAGTTTTGAGTTGCTAGATCTCTTTGCAGTCTATCCCATTTAGCATAATGATAGCACCACACAACAGGAGGGGCTTAGTCTCCATAAAGACCCTATGGCGGTCATTCTGTCTGATGCTGCCATGGGTAGACGCATCTGGGGTAGCAGTATTGATCAGGATAAAGTTAGGTGTGTTTTTTCCTCTTGTTTATCTCACCTCCCGCCACACACAGCCTAGCAGTTATGTCGTGTAGGACTCTACCATCTCAGTCAATAGTGATACTACCAAGCCATTCATTGCAGTGGACATTGAAGTCCCTTAGCCATGGTACATTATGCAACCTGGCTACCCTCCATGTTCCTTCCAAGTAGCATTCAACTTTGTAATGTATTGATTGATCGGTGGTAGGTAGTTGCAAGAATGAGAGTCCCTGCCCACGCTTGGCCTGTTGCCATTAGACTTCATGGCATCTGGAGTCAATGTTAAGGACTCCAAGGACAACTTCCTTTCAATTGTGTACAGCTGTAGTGATGTTATTGTTTGGGACATTGTCTGTAAAATATGACTCCATGAGTATGACTACATCAGGCTGTTGCTTGCCTCTATGAGATAGCTCTCCCAATTTTGGCACTTGCTCCAGATCTTAGTAAGGAAGACTTTGCAGGGTTAACAGAGCTGTGTTTGTCATTTCCGGTGCCTTAGTCAATGTCTGGTAATCCGTCCAGTTTCATTCTCTTTGAAACATTCTCTTGGTCGATACAACTAAGCAGCTTTGAGGGAATTTAGAGTCAACCAGATTGATTGATTTCTGAAGAAGGGTCCTGACCCGAAACATCAACTTCCCTGCTCCTCTGAGGCTGTCTGGCCTGCTGTGTTCCTTCAGCTTCACACTGTGTTATTTCTGACTCCAGCATCGGCAGTTCTTACTATCTCTTTTTGAAATTATCTTTCTTTATGCCTGATGGTGCACCTTTCTTGCAAGTATTGATGGCAGATGTGGAATAACAAATAGGTGTTCTGACTGACAACTAAAATCATTTCTTTCTTGTTAGAGCATTCATTTAGGGATCAGCAGAGTTGATGCAGAGTGAAGTCCTTTTCTCTAAAATTGCAGTCTTTATAGATTGCTACTAACTGATGACATTATGTCTGCCTTTGATGCAGGAACTAGCGCATTGAGAACAATACAGCAATATTCTGTGAGTAAACAACAATAGTACCAACATTTACATATGAAATTCTCCTCCGGGTATTTCACCAGAGAGATTGGAAACAAAATTTCACAACAAGTTATATAATGAGATAGTAGGACAGATTGTCAAAAGATTGGTCAAAGTGATTAATTTTAAGACCATAAAAAATAGGAACAGGAATAGGCCATTTGATCCCTCTAGCTCCGACATTCCTGATATCCACTTTGCTATCTTTTTCCAATTTGCCTCGTTAGTTTGTCTACCTTATTCCAAATACTTCATGAATTATGAAATTTCCCTTACACTTTTATGTTTGCTTGGTGCTATATGACATTCACACATTCTGTCCCATTTTATTTTCTGGTAACAATCGCTCACTTGCATTCCTAACTTCTCCTATACCTTTGATTTTCTCATTTCCCGTGCAACTGAATCCACCCCATAATTTGGTTTAAAGCCCTGCGTGTTTTAAGGAGCACCTGTAAAAGAAGAGGAAATTTGTAAAAGTGGCGAGGCCCAGAAAATGAATTCCAGTCCTTGGGGACTATTAATCTGATAGTGTGGTTATCGGTTGTGGATGTTATGACCAGGTGAGAAAGGTCATGGTGCCCTTTCTAAATTTTCCTTTTATTAGCATGTAACAATTACACTTCATTTTTGAACTGGTAACCAAAGTTCAAGTGAAGGAGAACCAATTCCAAGGTTTTTTTTGAGTGAAAGAGAATGGAGTTTCGTTACCAAAGAAATAATAAACTGCGACAACAAACACTCATATAAAACACAGGTTACGCCTCTTCCTGCCATCTTCTTTGTATCTAGTACAGACAGAGAGATAAGGCAGTTGCACCTCATAGATTTTTTTGAATCTAATTGAGTTGCAAGAATGAAAGCCCCAACTGTTTAGCTGATATCCTGATTCCTCAGAAGTGATGAAGTTTGTAGGTACTCTTGATTTCTCAGTTAGTACAGGTTTTTCCAGGATATTTTCGCATCAGCACTGTTTGCTGAGATTCAGGGAGAGGGAACTTTCCTTATTCTGTTGTTTTCAGAACATCTTTCTTTCTCTGACCTTTGTTGCTCGAAGGAAACTGCTGAAATATGGTTTGTTTGTATATTCGCAATCTAACTCCGTATGTCTTTTTTCAAACACTGCAGGTAGCTTTTCATGAACAATTTATGTTAATTATACAAATCTGAGTTAGAAATATGAATTCCTTGACAACTTTGAGTTTCAGTGCCTTTTGAATAAAATGGTAATACTGAAATAACTGGTTTCTGTATATTCCATGTAGGTTGCCTGGGCTTGTCAGTTGATTACAGGAGCTGTTTAAAGACATCAGTATTCTTTTAAAAAAATCTTTAGTCCTTTAAAGTCTTGGGTATTAATGTCAAATGATGAAAGTTGAAAATTGATTGTTCATTAACAGTACGATAGTAACATGGATTAATCAAAATTAGTGTGCCCAAAAGGCCCAAAAGTTGGATAGCACAGATTTTTTGATCTGAGGACTGATTCGAAGGTAGTTCAAAGAATGTTTTCTTAGCATCAGAATATTCACCTGCCATAGGACTGAGGAATCTTGATGTGTCAATGGAAAATGAGACAGGAGTGCACTGTCTCTCCACTTACTTTTCCAATGGAATGTCCACTTGCATCATTTACATGAACATGGCTTTTAACTAAGATTTGTGTGTGATCATCATGCAGCAAAAATGAGTTTGTACTATTTTATGTATGTGAAAATATGTAGCAAAAAGCCCAGTTTCCTGGTTCCTGTCTATTTCCTATAACACCAGCAGAATTTCAAAATATTGAGGTTTAGGTATCATTAATATTTATGTTATTGAAAGCAATGCACTCTTGCTGTCTGGATTATTTTAGTCATTTGTTTTGGGAGCAACAATGCTTCCAGCAAATAAATACTGTCAGCCATACTCAGAGGGCACTGTAGAGTAACTTGGACTGTGTGCTTTTCAAAGAATGTACGTTGTAAATCAAAGTATTGAAAATGTATCGAGACACCTCAGAGTGAAATATGTTTGGAGAATGATAAAAGATCCTTTTCTGTGTATAAGGAAAGGCATTACTATGTGGCTGGCTGGGCTATACTGCATATATTACACACCCTTTATATCTGTTTCATTTTCTGTAATTTCCAATTGGAACTATTTGCTCTTGAACTATATACCTGACATAGAATGTGTTCTGAAAATATTAAGATTGTCACAGTCAAGTTGAATGGAGCTTGCTGTCTTAGATATGTTAAATTTTCTTACAATAGCTGTAATATTCAAACCATAATGTTTTTCTATTGTTTTGTGTACAAATGTTATGAATAAAATACATGATTAGAAAAGAAATTACTCAATAAATCAACATGTTATCAGTTATTTAAAATAATATAGATTTATAGCCTCATATAATATTGTTTATGGTTCATATTTGGCTCAACTGGTATTATGTGAAGGTTCTGTTAAGTAAAAGAGTGCATCAAATTGATTGTTTTATAAAGCTATATATACTGTTATAAGGCTTTGACACATGATGAAAATATCTTTAATTATGAGATGGTTGGTGATTATGCTTGTAAAATTGCTGTTTTAATTTCACATAGCAGTCATGTTTAAAACATTTTCCGAGATACCGTAAGTCCAAATTTTGTATCATTTGAGAAAAGCTTGTGTCAAGTGGTAATTATTAAACCAATTTTGTAATGCTGTTTTGGGGTCAACTTGTTGAAGATTTCAGCTCTGGGAAAGTTTTGCCAATGTTGACAATGCTTATCAAACTGAGGCATTTATAGTTGTGGTGTGGTACAGCCCAGCCAGCTAAGTAGTAATGCCTCCCCTTTATAGCAGAGAGAAAAAAATCTTTATTGCACTAAGTTGACTGAGTTTGGAGAAGGACTTCAGACCTGAAGGCACGGCAATACCCAGGCCTCCTGTGGTAAAATTTAATGATAAAAATATAACACTTTGAAATTAGCCATATTGTGTTACATTTATTTAAAATGATCATTAATTCATCTTTTACATCTAAAAGAACGGATAAATTAAATGGAACATTTTTGGAATTCTGTATTGGCCATTAGGTACAGGTTATTACATTTTACATAAATGACATTTTTATTCATGATATTAACATTTGGTTGGTTGTAGTACTCAAATACTTACAACATTCTTTGTTTCTGACTGAGAAGTGGAGGATTAAGTGACGATAGTATGGACTCTGTCAACACCCCTGGAACCTATTCATCTTCCTCCACACTGATCCAGAAAGGTGATATTATTGGTAAGTGGAAAAACTGAATTCAATGAGTAATGGATAATAACATATTGCAGCAATAATTTTGATTTAAACTTAATAATCTATTTTATCTACTCTCACTGTTAAGAGTTGGTATTGTAAATGTAGATCTGAATGATATTAGTGAAGGAAGGGCTAAATTAGAGTTGTATCTTTTATGATGAGGGATAAACTTGCATTCCTCTGAAAAAAACCTCAAAACTTCAAAATTTTGAATACCTGCTGCTTCTGAGGGACACTGCAATTTATAAAACAATATTTTTAAATATTTCATCTGGATTTTAGCTTAGCAGTTGTTCAAACTTGGTGTTTCACTTGTTAAATCCTGATTTACCTGTGTGTTAGCTGGAGTCCAAGAGCTTCAATTCCTGATATGCCTTGGGACTGCTGTTGCATTTGTGGCATGGAACAGGCATGGATGATCTTCTGAGCATTCCAGGTACTTTGGTGGTCTTTGCAGGGACAATAGTGTATATGCATATGATGGTGTGAAAATCTGACCAAAGGTTTCATGTCAGCATGAACAGCCATGCCATGTGACATGTTGGAATCAGGGAAAAGAACCTCCAGGCAGCAGCAGTAGTTAGCAAGTTTCAGACACTCAGGGTTGAGGAGCTGAGAAGGTGGTGGAAGGTCAATGGCTGTGTTGGAGAGAAGGAACAGCCAAAGACAGTGACTCCATTTTGTTAAAGTGCCGTAATTGGCTCTGAGGAGTCATTCAAGTTCTAGGAACTATTTCATAGCCGAGAGTGGAAGTAATATAAGCCCAAAAGCAGTATTTGTTTGGTACGGCTGAGAAATATTAGAGCATGGAGAAACCCTGGGTAGTGCCAAAGAGCTGGAATTGTGCCAGTGAGGAGTAAATGGACCTTAGCCTCAGGAGTCCCATGGAACACAGACTCGGGAAAGAGATTGAATTACTAGGATGTGCTCAGTCATTGAGGTAGTCCATGATGGAATAACTTTTGTAAGTCCTTCTGAAGTTATGTCTTTGAAAATGTAAAATTAGAATTTCTTCTAGGGACATAAAGTTGAAGTGAGATTTACTGTCTGTAGTATCATTACCATCTGGATGGGTTGCTGAGTAAACTGAGGAGTCTCTCTTGGTACATCTGCTGTTTAATGTCTTCTGAGGGGTGTTTGACCACGATTTGTGTTAAACCATTTTATCTCATGTTAGTTGTAGATTTCCGAGTATAAATTGTTTACATGTTGTAGTTTATTTTAATGGGGAGTTGGTTAGCTCACTTGGCTAGATGGCTTGCTTACAGTGCAAAGGGATGCCGGCAGCATGAGTTTAATTCCCACACCAGCTGAGGTTACCATGAAAGGCTCTCCTTCTCAACCTGTCCCCTCGCTAGAGACATGGTGACCCTCAGGTTAAACCGCCACCAGTTGTCTCTGTCGGATGAGAGACGAGGCTTTGGTCTGGTAACGCTATAGTGACTTTACCTTTACTTCTGGATTATTTTACCTTTCTAACTTGATGAAGTTTATTTTGCTTGTTCACAATCATAAAATCTTCTGGGTACTGGTCCATTGCCAGCTCATAATAAAATTTGTCGTCTCATTTGGGTTGTACTAACTCTTATTCAATTGTTTACATATTGAGTCAAGTACTTGCATTCTGTGTAAAAGAGATTGACAACTGTTTTAATTCTTCTGATTAAGTAATTCTGCATAACTTATTTCTCAATTGAATATTCACTGGAGTTTCATTATTATCACCCAAGGAATTGAAATGGCGAAGAATACAGAATTTCACTCTGGTTTGTAATGAGTCTTTGAGCATGTCTTGTACAGAAACCTAGCATTCTGTGAAAATTGCAACATTGTAACATTCAGAGGTACAAAGAATTCCAAAGTTGCTAGCTGGCAATATTCTGTTCTGCGCTGTGCCAGGGGTGGGCTTGTTGCAACATTTTTAAGATTGCTTGGACTATTTCTGGTGTCACAAACGGTTGACCATCGAAGGGGTAGACGCCACATTAGGAGGACTCATTTTAATTGTCCTGCAGGGAAGGAGTCAAGAGCAGTAGGATGGATCTGTGCTGTTGGAACAAACTTTGGGTGAAGTTCTAGGAATTAATAAGCAGCCAAGAAATAGAGTCAGCACTTAGATGTCCTGGGGAGCTGTGAAAGTGGAAAGGTCACTGGCTGTAGTTCTGGGGAAGTTATCCGGGTTTTGGAAGAAGCCTGCATGCATTAATACTTAAGTGCAGTTGAGAATGTGGTTGTTGTAAAGACCATAAACCATATTTGTTTCGATGCAGCATGATGGACCATATGACCTCCTTTTACTTGATAACACTTCTGTGATTTTGTTAATGTATCTGAGCAAGATTAGAACTTAGGGAAGGCCCAAGGAAAGTTTTTAGGCCGGTGAAACTGCCTGTTAGCAAAAAAATCATAAAGAATAGGAGCAACAACTGGCCATTTGGCCCATTGAGTTTGCTCGCCATTCAGTATAAAGATGAATGATCCTGTATTTTACAACTGTACTTCTGCTCTTTCCCCATGCCCCTTGAAGCGTTGAAAAGCTGGAGTTGCATCAGTGTTTCAGTAGTGGAGTGCAGTTTTGGAGCCAAGGTGAGTGAACCCAGGACTGGAAGGTGATGCAGTCCATGCTGGCGGCACGGTGGCTCAGTGGTTAGCACTGCTGCCTCACAGCGCCAGGAGCCCGGGTTCAGTTCCACCCTTGGGTGACTGTCTGTGTGGAGTTTGTATGTTCTCCCCGTGTGTACGTGGTTTTCCTCCGAGTGCTCCGGTTTCCTCCCACAGTCCAAAAATGTGTAGGCTAGGTGGATTGGCCATGCTAAATTGCCTATAGTGTTCAGGGATGAGTAGATTGGGCGGGTTATAGGGGCATGGATCTGGGTGGGATGCTCTGAGCATCGGGTTGGTGAGGGCCTATTTCCACTCTGTAGGATTCTATGATGGAACTGCTCTTAAAACGAATGATCAACAAAAATGAGGAATTGTAATCACTTGTAAAATTTAATTGTGACACATTGTGTCATAAATGTCTGGTGGGAGTTACTGAGTGATCTGTGGGATCTGTCATGATCATACTTGCTCTGTAATGTCTGCTGTGGGGTGTTTTATCGTAGTATATTACCTATGTTTATCACATCAAATTTCACTGTTTAGTGGTAGAAATATGGTGCACATGTATTGTAGATTGCATTACAGTTTCTAGATTGTATATTAAAGTATTTGTTCTTTGGTAAAAACCATGAAATGTTGTGACTTTATTCTCTTAGTAAATATCCTCTTTTGCCTTCATTTAAAAAATAGCATTATTGGTCCCTAACCAGATTATAACATAGTTTGGTTGATTGTGTCTGGAAATGTAGCATAAAGTTGGTGGTCTGGTCTGGAATCATAACAGATGTAATTTCCTGGTTTTAAATATTGGGATACCAAAGGGAACTTATGTACATATTTGCGATTTTAAAATCTTAGAAGCAGTAGTAGATGTACTTTATACTGCAATACTCTTGCATAAGAGGAAATTAGGTTATCAAATGACATGGCTGTCATCATGGGCAGTCAGCTAATCCGAACTGCAGTCTCCCATCACTTAGTGACTTGATTTCATTAGGTACTTTAGGAAAGGAACACCACTGATTAATCAAACAATTGTTCAACATAATTATTATTCCTACAGCTTTGATAATGAAAATAGATTAACCACACAATACTGGGATTAATAATGGCACTGTAGTAAAACTGCTACTAAAATTTGGGCATTTCATTCACCACAGATGTTTTCTGAAGAAAATATTTTTGAAGCAATGGAAATTTTAGTTTTAGCTTGGTTTCCAACTAATATTGGTGTCTTTATAATTTTGTGAAACATATTTTCCCTATATAGTAAAACCACATTGTGCTGTAGAAACATTTATTTGTCTTGCATTTTTTTTACTGTGCAGTACAAAGTGGGTATTCACTTGTTGGTATCCCTTCTGTTTTGATGCATGGAATGGTGCATGATGAAAACTCTTCAATCTTCATTACTTTGTTGGTTGCTTGGCTAAAATAAATGGTTTTCAGAGTTTTTTAAAAAACAGCTAAAATATAGGACAGGTACCAGGAGAAAGAAAGAAAATAAACAGTTTGAATTTAATAGAATATCAACAAATAATATTTATAAAAAATGGTTTGAATTAGAAAAACAAAATATTGACAATGAGACAGGGAGCGACAAAGCAAATGCAACAATGTTAATAAGAAAGCTTACCTTTTTCTCGCACAGACACACATGAAATAGAGAGATTCCAGTTTTTATTACTGTCTTAAGTGTTTTATTAGTGTCAAATTGCATAAACAGAAAACATCAGAGATTATTAGCCTATTGTAATAGCTGGTAATGGTAGGGTTATGTGATGAAAGTACTTGCCTCATAAAGGTAGATTATATACAGTTGCTAATGAGGACTGAAAAGTGGAGCTTTTCTTTGAATTTTGAAATGCTGTCATTTTCTCTTTGAATAGATTTCCAAGAGAGTTGTGTGTACTAAGCTTACCTTCATAATCCTGTTTAAATAACTTATTACATACAATATCCTATGAGGGAGTTCATTTAATCACACTCGAACATTATCGTCTGATTAAATAATTTTTCTTATGGCTTATAGCTTCCAAGATCATGTTGAAAAAGGAATATATAGATATAAATATGTTTGTAGATTTCTATAATTAACTTTTTCCCTTGTATAATGTGTGTGGTGTTATATCTCTTTCCTTCAGTAATCGGTTTAGAAGCAGTACTCAGAATTATCGTGAACTGCAACTCTCCTTGGGAGACAGTAATTCTTTGACAATTGGAGCATAGTAAGTCTAGAATGACTTCAAACTCTTCATAAGCAATATGAAAACTAAAACCGTTCCAACCATAATCAGGTTATTTTCCATTTCAGTGTGAAGTCCTGTTATTGAGGAGTCATTTTATTTATTAAGCTAACAGTACTTTTTCTGAAACTCATGAGAAATAATTGTTCTTAAGGTGGAAGTAATGCTGCACTTTTTGGTGGATCATGTTTCTGAGCAGTCAGGGTTCATATATTTGTTCTCTTTTTTTTCTTATATTTACCTGTAATACTAGATGCAACCTGAACGATGTGATAGTACCCTTTTTTAAAGTGTGGTCTATTGATCCTAACCTTAACTGATATATTAGGATTTTGCCATTAAAAAGTCTTAAATCAAAACATCAATATTTTATAGGTAAAATCAGTATGCCTACATTTTCATAATGGGAAACACCTATTTATTGACTATAATGGCTCCCACCAGTGGTGACATTGTGGCGTGTTGCCCTAGATTCATTTACTATTTTTTTTAAAACTCAAAATTTGGTCTTTTTCCTGTAAATTTAGCAGAGCTAGAAACATGATTTTCATCTTTATCATCTGCTGAATACTGATCTCATTGCCTGTTTCTTTAGCTGCCCAACTTCGGATCTCAAATTATGACATCCATATGACTGCCTTTTCTATTTTCCAAAGTAACACGTTGGTTGTACACCAAATTTTGGTATTCAACTCGACACTTTTGCCCCCACCAACCATTTTGATACCCAGACAACATGAAAAATCTCCTCTTGTCCTCTTCCTCCCCATATTACCATCCCTGATTTCTAAATTTATGTTGTCCCTGTGATCTCTGTTGTGCCTGTGACCTCTGATCTTTAAACCCGCATCCTCCTTAGTATTTCATCCTGTGATTTTATTTATTAGGGGAGGCAAAACATTCCTGAACTTTTAAAGTGTATAAATTCTTTATAAACCATTAAACAGATAATGGTTATTACAAAACAAATGTGTTACACTAAATTCTAAGTAATGTTACAAAGCAGAGTCTTTTAATCTCAAATATTGAACAGACTTTCATTTTATTTTAATTTCTTTTTATTTTGATGGAAGAATCAGGCATAGGGGCACCAATCACCTAAAAAGAATTCTATGCATATCGTTAGCTTTTTAGCTGTTAATGCAAACTAAGAGGCGATTTTCTGACGTAAGAGCATTAAAAAGGCTTTTTGTATTTTGATTCACCCTTTACATGTCCACAGGCAGCACACTGAAATCTTCAACAGGTAAAATAGTCACAGTCGCACAGATGATAAAACGATATCATTCAACTCATCTTGAGCCATGTTACACAATAACTAGAAATATATTAAAATGTTGAACTACAGTATTTAAATAACTTATGTAATCTATATCTTGCTTGCAATGCCTTGTGCAGTGTGATCAGAGAGGCTTCATTAATCATCTGGTTTTCGTACAGGCTGCACAACAAATCTACACTCTTGCCTGGTACTTTAGTTAGGAATTTAGATGTAGTTGTTGTATACACTAGCCCAGATACTCTTAAAATATAAAGGGAGGGTGTGAGTGGATCTATGCTCAAAATCCCCAAACTGCCTTAGAAAATCCATTCACTGGGCTGACAAATCAGGGAAACGTTGCCACCCATATATAGAATAGAACGGAAGGGTGAGAAGACATTCCTGCAATTGCAGACTAGTTCTCTTCCGTGTATGCTGCTGATGGGTTCATTGTGAATCTGTTGGCTTGGGAGAGAAGCAGTCTGTAATTAGAGAATTTGTGGTGAGTGGCAGCACTGTACCAGGCTGGAGGAAGCAGAGTTGGGAACAGAAAGTGAGGCTGGTGAACAAGTTCAGCAAGAGTAGGGAGAAAGGGTTCGGTACAGTGGACCTGGGGGCTAGGTGGATCGTTGCATTGAGGCTGCAAAACGGGGAGTAAAAAGCTGTGAAAGGAAATGAGAGCCTGCAAAAAGGAGGAAGTGCCTGCAGAAGGTGGAAGGGTCAGAAAGAGAGAGACGGGGTTTGCAAAGGGTGGAAAAAAAAATCTAGAAGTGGGGTGCAAGAAGGTAAAATAAAGCTTTTCAACAAAGAATACTCAACTGGGAGCAGAGGATCTGAAATAATGGATTCCTTGCAAATTAACATGGAGTCTTTGGATAAAAGCTGCAATAGATCAAGTGATCTATATGTGCAGTGTATGTATAATTATACAAATTATTATTGAATAGTTTATTCCATTAAAAGTTGGCTTTATGTATTATCATATCTAAAAAACATCTTGCAAACTATCAATTACCTCAGGTTCAGTGGTTGTGTCGGAGACAAACATGCAATGGTTTAACTGTGACCTCACCAGTCTGCAGGAAGCATGTTTAGGATGACAGCTTTTTGTGTGTGGAAGTGTGTTTTTAAAAAAAAAAAAAAATTGTTACTCATTTATGCCTGTTGTCTTTAGCCAATTTAAATACAGTAGTGTCTAGGAATTTAATGCTTTCTTTGTGAATTGTTGCTTTAAGTTGGATGGAGCAGTGATGATTATTGGAGATAGTGATGCTTCTGTAATTCTGCTTCTGTGTATCAAATCCCCCCATATTAACACAAATACAAAAGTTCACTAAATGACTAATTGCTCTTATGAAGGAATTAGCATGACTGAGAAAGGAGCCGCTAAAAACCAAAAATTTGTCCCTGAAAATAAAAAAAGTAAACCTTTGAAGAATTCCCAAAAGGAACCCTTGGGGCAGTTTGAGAGGTGCGTAAAAGGAATACGTTCAGTCCTGCACTGACCAATGCAGGCCGAGTCAGAGCTGAACCAAATTTTTTTATCTGAAGTGATCTCTATTTTTCTCTCTATGGGGGTAACATTGTCCATGGTTTCAGAAATTTGAAATGTTTATTTGCTTGCTCTTTGTAGAGGTAAAAATTGCTGAAGAGGGAGATAATATAGAGCCAGAAATAATTTATCCTATAACCTGTGGAGAAAGTAAAGCTAACCTCATTTGGAAAAAGTTTGTTTGTCCTGGTATCAACATAAAGTGTGTTCAGGTGAGTGAACTGTTCTTGCTGTTTGATTAGAAATTTTTTGTAATAAAGTGCTGGGTAAAGAGAAAATTACACTACTTTTTTGCTGAAACTGGCAAATAGTTGACTTTAGAATAAGTGATTATGGCAGCTTTGAAGCACCAGTTGGCAGTCTGTAGAATCACCTCAGAGATGCTTTCCACATCTCCTACCTGCCTTATTTTGTGTTTCCAGCAATTTAGTGCCTTCTCACAGAGGGAGTAAAAAGCTAGTGAAAATACATCACTGTATCATTAGTGCATGCCTTATTTCATTTAGGTATTTGTGGGATCTTCTTTCTACTGTTCTTATTAGATCTCAGCAGTTTATGTATCATCTTGCACAAACTGGTCACACCTAATGGTAGGGAAAACAGGTGGAATGTGACACAAGAAAAGGAAGTAAATTATTTTGGGGAGACTCGTTCTACAGTACATTAGTGAAATTGTTACAGCATGAAAGCAGGCCATTTGGCTCGTGTATGTTTGTGCTGTCTCTTCTGCAAAAAGAATCGAATATTTAACGCCCTGTAACTATTGTTTTTCTTTTCAGTTTGACAATCAACTTATAAGCCCCAAAGAATTTGTGAATCTAGCTGGAAAATCTACATTGAAAGACTGGAAGAGAGCTATCCGTTTGAATGGTGTGATGCTGAGGTTTGAGATACACTATTACTATTTAACAAAAAGTTACCAGTATTTGATAAAAAGTTGGATTTGCAATATCAGTGTAAATCAAAATTTAAACAAGAATAAACATGTTTTCCTGATCAATCTTAAAATAGAGCTACTTTGCGTGGGGAATATGATGATATTGAAATCTAGGACTAAATATACCATATTTCTAATTGCAAAGATTTGATGAGAAAAAGATCAGTCTCAGTAACATTTGAACTTTGGGGTCTATATAACCGTTAGTATTACATATTGACGTTTGTGACATTGTGTACAGTCGTGGTGGATTTCAGTAAAGAGGTTAGTGCACACTCTGTGAAAGAATGCAGAGTATGCAGATCATGACGTGACTTCAGCACAGGCATTTCGGAACTCCGTTTTCCAACTAGCACCCTCTTAACCTCTCAGACTTATCCCCGCCTAAAAGAATATGAAGGACCCCTCACCAGCACTTTTTAAAGGGATTTTCAGTGTCTTAAAGGTTTGTTTGTAGTTAATTTCTTCTGCTTCCTATTACAATTATACATGTTTTTACTGCTTTCTGCAATTTAAAATCTTAAGAGTCGACAGGGAATGGTGTGAGAGGTGCTGAAGTACTTTTTGCCGACTTAAGGCTTCTACACAATCTGGCTTTTTGCATTTGCAGCCTTTTCTTTTGGAATACAGGATCTCTGGTAGAAAAATAAACCACTCAGAGCAAAGCATGTTGCTAGAAGAGGGAGAGGAGGAGGGCAAGTGCTTTCAGCAAGAAGCAAGATTTGCCTAGGAAGCGCGGGGTGGGCGTTGGTGTTATTCTCGCACCTGAAAATCAACAACAGCCAATGTCTGAGATGCCTTGCATCTGTTTCACACTTTTGCAACAATTAATGGTGGTCATTATGGTCACCGTTACTGAAACTATCTTTACATTCCAGATTTTATTAGTTGAACCTGCCATGGTGGGATTTGAACCTGTGTCCCCAGGTTCTGGGCTTCTGGATTATTAGTCGGGTGCCATTACCACTACAACATCATTTCCTTTCTTTTCATTCGTTCAAGGGATGTGAGCATCCGTGCTTGATTACCATTATTGCCCATTACTAGTTGCCCTTGAGAAGATGGTAGTGAGCAGCCTTCTTGAATTGCTGCAGTCAGTTTGGTGTGGATACCCATACAATGCTGTAAGGTTAGGAGTTTGGGATTTTTACCGAGTGAAAATGAAGGAACAGTGATATACTTCCAAGTCAGGATGCTAAGTAGCCTAGAGGGGAGTTTTCAGATGGAGATGTTCCCATATATTTGCTGCCCATGCCATCTAGATAGCAGTGGCCATGGTTTGAAAGGAGCTTGATGAATTTTTGAGCTTCTTGAGTGTTTTTGGAGCTGCACTCATCCAGAGAAGTGAGAAGTATTGCATCATACTCCTTTCTTTGCCTTGTAGCTGGTGAAGAGGCATTGGGGAAACAGGAGGTTAGTTACTTACTACAGGATACCTAGCATCTGACTTACTCTTGTAACCACAATTTTTGTACAGCTAGTCCAGTTCAGTTTCTGGTCAGTGGTAACCCCAGAATGATGTTAGTGGGGAATTTGGCGATGGTAATGCCATTAGAAAGGGACAGTTGTTTGGTTCTCCACTTGGAAGTGGTCATTGCCTGGCATTTGTATGGCATGAATATTGATTGCCACATATCAGTCCAAACATGGATATTGTCCAATTTGTGCTGCATTTAGGCATAGACTGCTTCAGTCACCAAGGTCAGTGATGAAGCACCTGAAAATGTTTGGACTTAAGATGCTATCCTGAGGAACCTCTGCATAAATTTTCTGGACCTGAGATGACTGACCTCAACAGACCTCCTTTGAGTTAAATATGAGTCCAACCTGTGGAGCATTTCCTGATTCAGATTGATTAGAATTTTTCGCTGACTTCTCGATACTGCAGTTGTTCAAATATGGCTTTAATGTCAAGGGTAGTCACTGTCATTGCACTTCTGGAATTCAGCTGTTTTGTCCATTGTGAACCAAAGCTAAAATTGAAGTTGGACCCTGACTGGACCCAAACTTGAGTGCCAGTGAGCAGTAAAGCAAGTGCTGCTTGATAGCACTGCTGATGACCTCTTCCTTCATTTTACTGATGATTGAGAGTAAACTGATGGGCAGTAATTGATCAGGTTAGATTTATCCTACATTTTGTGCATGGGGCATACTTGGCCTGACAACCACTCCAGTTTTAGCAGCACTATGTTATGAGAATCCATTCAAATTGACTGTTGATGCCAGTGATGCTAGTTGGTATGAGTACAGTTTCACTACAAGAAGTTGAAATGGGCATTGAATGACCTGTCAGTTACTTTTTGGAGACAGAATTATTCAATTATGGAGAGAGAGAGAGATATTGACTTTTGTGTTCTCACCTTATTCCATTGAAATTTGCTGACAACACTAAACAGATGTCAGTTTCTTTGAGCCCAATCCCTTGATTTATTTGTTTTGGAGAAAATTCAGGTTTCTCTGTTGGAGTTTAATGCTCTTCCTGTACAATTTAAAAATCATTCATGTTGGTGGGGAAAAGAGATATTGTGGTGGTGGACTGTTTGTCAAGAGCACATATGAAGGAAACCAAATACTGTGATCCAGTTGGACTTGTATAAAGTTTGTTGTAATGAAACTCATTATTTAATGTCAATATGTTATTATTGTTAATGTAATGTGGAAGTAGTGTTAAAGAACTTTTTAATGGAAAATAAAAATGCCTCTTAAGGATGCATTTGTATTCTTCGGAGAATGGGAAAGATATAAAATGTGTGTAATGTATATGCGCTAATTTTTTTGAGGTTGGATTTCAACATAGTGGCATACAAGTGTTGGCGACTTTGTGAAGGGTTTTCTTTTTTGAAAAAAGGTACACAGTCCTTCTGGAACAATGACCTAATTTAGTGTATGCCAGAGAGCAGGTGTCTGCAAACCCTAGAGTGGTATGTTTGCAACAAATAGAGTAAACATGGAGTTTTCAACTAAGAAATCGGAATTTTTTTAGGGTAGTTTTGAGGGAATCTGGAGAAGAACAAAGTATAATTTCTCTCCTAGAAACAAGCTTTTCAGAGCAGCTCAGGGAATAGATTACCTAAGCAGAAGTTTACTTTGTGCAGCTTTCAGACCAAAAACCATTGTGTGAAATTTTGTTTATCAGAAGCTGAGAAGATTCAAGCAGTCAGTTTTGTGGCTATTTGTGTAAGTTCACAGAAAAAAAAAGTTTGGGTGAATCTATTAAGTTGAACTTAATTGATAGTGAGTTAATTTCTCCAAATGGATGATGTTGAAAATATGTTCAAAACATTTTTGCTGTTTAATTTAACATTTTTTCTGAATTGTCTTCTCTATTAGATAGCATGGTTTTTATTTCTTTCTTCTTTTGTGGTGCAATGCTGCTGTAGCTAAAGGGACTCTGCAGTCTCGTGTGACTGTATTTCAATGACAGATCTGTTTTTAAATTTTTTAAATGGCCAATAAAACCATGTTTCATTCTGTCATCCTACTTGCCCATCAGCTTGGAACAAACTCATTGAAAATATCAAAAAGAAATATTTATCCCTTTTACCCCAACAGTAAAATCATAGAATAGAATCCCTACAGTGCAGATTTAGGGTATTTGGCCCATCAAGTCTGCATCAACCTTCCAAAGAACATTACACCCAGACCCACCTCCCAATCTTATCCCTCTTTTACCATGGCTAATCCGCCTAGCCTGCACATCTCTGGACACTATGGGCAATTTAGCATGCCAGTCTTACCTAACCTGCACATCCTTGGACTGTGGGAGGAACCTGGGAGAAACCCATGTAGACATGGCGAGAACGTCTGTCTGGAGTTTGCACAATCGCCTAAGGCTAGAATTGAACCTGGGTCCCTGATGCTGTGAGGCAGCAGTGCTAACAACTGTGCCACTGTACCGCCAACTCAACCTTCAACTTAAAGCCTCAATGAAGGGTCATCCATATTTCCATGCTAAAGCTTCTTGTTTACCTTTGCTTCCTTTTCAGCAGATTTCTATGCATTCATTAGGTTCTGTTTTTTTCAGTAAATGTGGAATATTGAAACAGGCTTCTAAGTCAGCCCACTTTTATTGCTGAACCTGAATTCCTTAAACTCATGTCTTTCACAGCCTTTTAGAATATCTTCTCTGACAATGCTATAGCCTTCTGCTTCTGGAGTATTCTTCTGATCAACTTGAGACTTTTTCCCAACCCTGCCCTAACTGTTTTTAGAGACACATACTACCAGACCCTCTGCTGTTATACACTTCTGATTTATCTGAATTAACTGGTTTCTGGTTCCTCTCTCTGCTTTATAAATGTCAAGTCAGCAAAAGTCTTAGCACTTATTCCCCAAGTGGCATGCTAGTCATTTAGATTGTTGGATGTTGGAGAGTAGAATTAGATTTGAAGTTACCATGATCTACTCAGGATTCTGCTTCCTGCTGATCACAATGTTGGCATTGGCTGTTTGCACATTGGGAAGCTATGTTTCATTCATGAATGTCAAAACATGCAAGCATGCGGCTCCTTTCCAGTTTTTTATTTCTCCTATTGTGCATCATCTTCTTCAGTAATGGGAGAAATGGATGTTGGTGAATGACATGCATATGCTAGGTTTATGTGGTTGTCATGGCTGAACAGCTGTAAGTGTGTAGGAAGTGTGAGAATTGGATCAAAGGCTTGCAATGTGCTTAATGTATGAGGGCGAGGTGAAGGACATGAATCAACCCGATAGTTCTGATTCTAAGAGATTGTCCCTAGTATTGAGCAGGGAGATGATATAAGCAGTGGCTGAGGTTAGTGATAGGATATAGTAGATTGAAGATACTTTCACTACCCTTGACCGCTCACGTGAGTTTTTAAATTTTTTACAGTGTACAGGTTTTTGGGGCCAAACTCTAAATATGGGCATCTATTGTTCTGTTTCCACTGTCTTTTAATTAAGTGTATGGGGGGCCTCATTGGTCACTGTGAGTAAAGGACATCTCTCCCTATTTTCATCTCTTTCTTCTCTTCTGTGCCGTTTCTGAAAACATTAGTAGTACACACACATGAACACCCATATACATGGTCAGTCTCCTCCCTTCTGTTCCTTGATCAGTCATTGCTACTTGTTGCATCATATACTGTTCCCAGTTACCTCCAGCAATCACAATGCATCTTCCCTTTCACAGCTGTTGGTGAGCTATAACTGGTATCAGCAAGCCATAATTGTGGGTCTGTGCTGATGCTGGAAAACAGCGCTGCCTGCATGTACAAGTCATTCTAAAGAGCAGCCAATGCTAAGTTGTATGCTGCTTGAAATATATTTGGAGAATATGCCTTAGTCTACTTCAATAAGGGACAGATTTAAAAAAAGGTAACTATCACGCTGTCTTGAACTTAGGAGGTGGGAGAGAAACAACGGTTGTTTAGCTGCACTTCCATCCCCTGTTGTCTGTAACAATAGTGATAGACTATAGTCAATACTAATAGGGGATGTTGTCACTTTAGATGTTTCTGGTTGATAATGCATATGTATAATTTTCACATGCAACTCATTAACTAAATTTGTTTTACTTTTACTTCACTAAAGAAAAATCATGGATTCTGGAGAATTGGATTTCTACCAACATAGTAAAGTGTGTTCCAATACATGTCGTAGTACAAAAATTGATCTTTCCAGTGCCAGGTCATCTTTGAGCAGTCAGCAATCAACCGAGTACATCCCAGTGACTCCTGCTATAGCTGATGGTAACACATTTTCTTTATTAATATCTATGCAGTTTTTGTATGCTGACCGTCAAATTGGATGGGAGATGCTTTCTGCTTAAAAGAAGCTATTTATGTTTTACTGGCACTCCTGGAGTAATCTAAATTGATTATGAAGAGAAAAAGATGAGTGAAGACTAATGTAGGACCCTTACAGTTAGAAACAGGGGAAGATATAATGGAAAACAAAGAGATTGCAGATGAATTCAATACATATTTTGGTCATGACTTCACAAAGGAGGACACAGATAACATCACAAAAAAATGTTGGGGACCCAAAGGTTGAATGAGAGGGAGGAACTGAAGGAAACAGTACCAGTATTGTAGAGTATACACTACATAAATGGTGTTGGAGAAAGTGATGGGTTTAAAGGATGATATCTCCCCAGGACCTGATGATCTACATTTCAGAGTTGTTAAGGAAGTGACTGTAGAAGTAGCGGATGCATTGGTGGTCATCTTTCAAGATTTTAGTGACTCTGGAACAGTTCCTATGGATTGGAGGGTATTTACCGTATCCTCACTGTTTAAAAGAGGAGGTAGAGTGAAATGGAATTATAGACCTATTAGTCTGACATCAGTATTGAGGAAAATGCTCGGGGTCACTATAAAAGATTTAATAGAGAAGCACTTGGAAAACAGTGACAGCATCGGAAGATGTCCGAATGGATTTGCAAAAGGGAAATCATCTTTGATAGATCTACTAGAATCTTTTGAGGATGTAAATCGTGGAGTTGATAAGGGGGAGCCAGTGCATGTGGCTTACTTGGACTTTCAGAAAGCTTTAAGACAATTACACATTAAGAGAAAAGCTTTTAAAATTAAATTGCTTGAGATTTGGGGAATGTATACTGAAATGGATAGAGAGTTAGATGGCAGACAGAAACAGAGAGTAGAAATAAACAGCTATTTTGTCCAAGTGGCAGGCAGTGACTAATGGGGTACTGCAGCGACCAGTGGTTGGATGCCAGCTATTCACAGTATGTTATTGATTTGGATGAGGGAACTAAATGTAATATCTCCAAGTTTGCCGATAAGACAAAGCTGGGTGGGAGGTTGAACTGTAGGGAGGATACAGGAATGCTTCAGTTTAATACGGATAAGTTGAGTGAGTAGACAAATACATGTCAGATAAAGTACAATGTGGATGAATGTGGGGTTATCCACTTTGTTAGCAAAAACAGGAGGGCAGATTATTATCTGATTGCACCTCCACCTTCCCAATTTATTGACCACGAGACTCGGGTGACCTTGGACACTGGTCACAGAATGAATAAACATGCAGCTGCAGCAGGTGATTTTCATAGCAAGAGGATTTGAGTACAAGAGCAGGGATATCTTGCTGAAATTGTATAGGGCCTTGTTAGTATAACTGTTGGAATATCGTATGCAGTTTTGGTCTACTTATCTGGGAAATGATGTTCTAACCATGGAGAGAGCGCAGTGAAGGTTTATCAGACTGATTTTGGAATGGCAGGACTGCTGTATGAAGAGAAACTTGATCTGTTAGAACTATATTCATTGTAGTTTAAAAGAATAGAGCCGGTGTGGGGTGTTGAAGATCCCATTGAAACTTATTTAATTCAAAGAGGACCAGATAGGTTAAACAGAGGAAGGATGTTCTCAATGATCAGGAAGTCCAGACCAGCAGTCACCATCTAAAGATACAGGGTAGACCAGTTGGCACTGGGATGAGGAGAAATTCCATCACCCAGAAAATGGTGAGTCTATGAAGTTCTGTCACCTATAGTTGTGAGGGCTAAAGAGATCAATGGATATAGGAGAAAGTGAGAACAGGGTACTGAGCTGAATGATCAGCCATGACCATATTGAATGAGGGAGCAGGTTTGAACAACTGAATGGTCTGTTGCTCCTATTTTCTATGATACATATTGGAGACGTTCTCTTTTATTCTGAGATATTCAGTTATGGTCAATCTATGATTATTAAACTGGACATATGTGATCCAGTGACATATTTGAAGCAGGAAAAGACGTCCTTCCAGGATCCTGGTTAAGCTTGTGTCTCACCTTGCACAAAAGAAGACCATTGTGGTTATTGGAAGGGGTTCGTATGCAACAATCATGGACAGCATCCAAGATTGTACTGACAAATGGCAAGTAACATTTACACCAGCCAATGACTCTTTCAAGCAAGAAAGAATCTCATAATTTCCTCTGACACCTAGTGGCATTGCCATATTTGAGGTGCTCACTAACAACAATTACCATTGAACAGAAAATATAATGGACCAGCTATATAAATACTGCGGCTACAATAGCAGGTCAGAGGCTAGAAATTCTATGGTGAATAACTTACCTCCTGTTTCTCCAATGCTTGTCAACCACCTGTGAAACAAGGCACCAATCAGGAATGTGATGGCATACTTGCTACTTGCCTGGGTTGGTGCAGCTCCAACAGCAATGAGGAAGCTTGAAATCATCCAGGGCAAAGCAAAAGTAATTAATTAGGAAGAAAATATTTTGAGGATGTGCTGAGGTGGTCGATAAATCCATGGATAGACGAATCTATTATTTCTGTAACAATTCTTCACCTTCTATGAGAGAACATGAAGTCAAAAAGTTGATGGCCCAAAATAAATAGCACAAGTATTTCTCTCTTGTCAGATTCTGCCAGGCCCGCTGAATGTTAGCAGAATTTTCTGCTGTGAATTGAGATTTCTCGTAACTGCAGTATTTTGTTTTTATTGTTGTAGTACTGAGAGTATTGTGCTGGATTTGAGCCATTTTTGTCAGTGACCTTCAAGATAATAGGCCAAAAAGATCTAGTAATACGTGGCATGGATTTTCCTTTCTCAATGGCTGTTTAAATCTGTTGGGGCTGTTGTCAGCCATTTTTGCTGTTCTGGGGTCATGGGACAGCAGTGGATTGTACCAGTACAAGACAAGGAGAGGTCAAAGACTTCCCTCAAATCTGGCCTCGTCGTGAGGATTCAATTACCCTCTTAATCTGCAGCTCAAATCTTAAGATTGAATGTGCAACATTTTTTGCTACCCTAAAGATAAGAACATTTCATACCAGTTAGTTAATTCTTCTAAGTATTTTTTTTAATCAATCAGTTATAATACTACAAGTAGGTTTTAATTAAGATTCTTCAAGATAATTACAGATGTAGATTCCGAGGTGTTATAGGAGGATGTATATTAATCACTAAAATATTAGAAAGAAATGCTCAAAACTAACTATAACGGACCTTCCTTATCAGTCTTGTTGAGGTAAAAAGTCGCAAGCAACCTCGGAACATAAGTTTCCCACATACCAAAAGGGGACCATTCGGATCATAGCAACAAGATTACTAATTGGATGATGTACTGGGAACCCAATCATAGTTGAACAAGCCAGCACGAATTAATCAATAGTATTCATGGGGAGGGAGTGTGTACCATCATGTTAATGTTACAAGAAAAATGTATAAAAGACATTTTACTTGAAATTGAAGTTAGAGTGTCATTGACTTTTCTTCTGTTCTGAGCTGCAGATTAAGAGGGTAATTGAACCCTCACGTTGAGACCTCTCCTTGTGGTTACTGGTGGAAAACACAAATAAAAATTACCACATTTCTTGAACTCTGTTGTCCCTGAAAAATTATTATTCTCTGTAAAAGACTCGCTCCAACAAAATCTGGCACCAAATCTAGTGAATTTCCAGGTTCCAACACAATGATGAAAGCAAGCAGAGTAAACAGCCAATCACATTGAAGTATTCTCACGCACACCAAACAAAGAATTTAAGAGCACTGACTATCAGTAATTTCAAATTCAATTTTCAGATAGTAAAATTTATTGAATTAAGAGAGAATCTAAAACATTAAAAAACTTCAAATCATTTTAAAAATTATGAAAATGTTTATTATGGAGAAGTTTGACATTTTGTGTGTTTAAAAGTGGTTTTCCAGCACAAATGAGGTTATTTACCAATAATTATGAAATTTTTCCAGCATGTAAAAACCCAATACATCATCCTTCAACCAAGTGTAACTGCATTACACATTTTTATAACAGGACCAACAATATAAAAATTGAAGTTTCATTATTACACTGCTTAGGGATTGCACTTTGGGTAATGGGAGTGGTCCTCAACAGTTCACTTTTTGGCAGAGCAGAGGAACACTGACAGCAACTGCAAATTTGCATTTTACGCTGCCCAAGTCTGTACTCTCAAAGTTGCTATTTGTTTTGTTGCGTAATCATGGTAAACAGATCTGACAGTTTTTGCTGTCATTACCACCACAAAATCTGGGCGCTTTTTTTCTGGTCAAATTCTGGTAAAACAATGATAGGAATATGTCTGTGTTCAGAAAAAAAGAAAAATGTTTGATATCATTGTGGTATACTTGCTAAATCTAAAACTGTGGTATATTAGGTGGCGGCACAGTGGTTAGCACTGCTACCTCACAGCGCCTAGCACTGCTACCTCACAGCGCCAGGGACCCGGGTTCAATTCCACCGTTGGGCGACAGTCTGTGTGGAGTTTGCATATTCTCTGCGTGGGTTTCCTCCCGGTGCTCCAGTTTCCTCCCACAGTCCAAAGATGTGCAGGCTAGGTGGATTGGCCATACTAAATTGCCTGAAGTGTTCAGGGATTTGTACATTAGGTGGGTTACAGGGGGATGGGTTTGGATGGGATGCTCTGAGGGTCGGTGTGGATTTGTTGGGCCGAAGGGCCTGTTTCCACACTGTAGGGATTCTATTCTATGATCAACAATGATGGGTACTTTCATCTTTTTCAGATTATAATGCTGTTGTTTGTAATTTTTTCAGTTTAGTTTCAAATTAAAGATTTTTTTTTCATATGGGCACATACATATTGTTTCAAATCCATTAAAAACGCTTTCAATAACTACCCATTTAAATGACAACAGACACCATCAGAACATAATTTGGCTCCAGTCACATAGATGTAAACTGTGGTTCTATGCAACTCTTCTTAATAGCGACTTGACTTCACTTAAAACTAAACTATCAGATTATGCGTGGGAAGTGACGGATTGTCTTGGAGATGGTTACAATTAAGTGGACGTGCATGAAAGCTGACATAGCAAATACAGAAGTCTGAAATTAATTACACAAGTATAAATTTACAATACCATAGAATTGCAACACAGATAAAGCCACCACTGTTCTTAGTGGGGTTTTGAAAAATAAAAAATTACTTCACAAAGTCTGAAACCATTCACAGAAAGGCTATTATGGTTGATGTTGATCCCTGTTGTAGTTATTTCTGGCTGGATTTTGATATGCCACCTAATACTAGAACAAAAAAAATGAGAAGTTTTAAATATTAAAAAATACGTAGTTACTTATAATCTGTAGTAATGATTAATGAATATTAGACAATTAAGGGTTAATTTAACATTTGTATTTAGAACCCAGAGTTTATTCATTTTGTGCAATAATTATATGTTGGTCCGATATATCCTGAATGTTATGGTGCAGATATTTCCTTAAAAATCATTTTTATTTTACGAATAATACGCTGTTGTAAGAGCTCAGAGCAAGGACTATATTAATATGACTTAGATTAATAAGTGATGATCCATACATTATTTATCTGTACAAATTATACATAGTTAAAAATAGCTTCTTAGCAATGAATGGGGAAAATATTTAGTTTTGGAGAAGCAAAGACACGTTTTATGTGCAGTTTTTTTAGTGAGTTTCATGAAGTCGTCTGCTTCTCCAAACTTTTCCAAACTCATGGTCTCTTTAATCTCTGTTAATGTTCTGTAGAATATAATAAAGTATGGTGTCTCCTGCCCAGCATATATGAGAATTGAAGTTAACCATCACCTACTCATGATGGTGGGGAGAGGGTTGGAGGTTCAAAGTAAAAGTTGTGAAATGTGACTCTAACTTGCCTGTAAGCCATGTTCACTCTTTTTTTATAAGAAAGGGTTATGTGATATTCTTGTCTTGCTTTTGAAGAGAGGAGCATTTCATTAAACCACCCTATTTCCATTCCAGCTCTTACCCCTTAATTGCTGTTTGCCCCACAATCTTTTACTTTTCTATTCCAGTTGGCAATCTAACCCTTATTTCTGCCACGCCCTTTTCTCAAGTTGCTAGAGACAGACCTCAAGGGTTTCAGCTGTGCCTTCTTGCTTGACAGATGACCAGCCTGTGAATCTGGTCGACTGACTTATGGGAAACAGTATATTAAAATTAAAAATTAGGACCTGTCATTAAATTCAACAGAGCCTCCACATAGTCATGATTTCTACTTTTAACCTCCTAGCCTCCATCTGCTGTCATTTCTTTCTGTACTTCTTCATAAATATCTGGTTATGGTCTCAATCCGCAAAAGGTTGAAAGAAGGTCAGATTGAAGATAATTTGTATAAATGAAATGTTACATTTGTGAGAGTGGCAGGGAAGAGTTGGTGCAGAAAAGATTACCATACTTAAGGTCCACATATGAATAAAAACGTTGGATAGCTGTCATGTGCAAATGAATTAAAAGAATTGTGCTGCTCATTGATTCCTGAGACACCCCTTAAGGAAGGTCTGATATCAGGCAGGATTTCTAGAATGTGAATCAAGCTACTGTAGAAAGTGATCCAATATTTAAAAAGTAGCATGCTCACAACAGCCTCAGCGAAGACAGGTTGTCAGGACTCCGGGTGTTGTTTTCCCTTCTCTGCATATGGCTTCAAAGGTAAATAAATGTGCAGGTTTGGCCCCAGAATAAAACTCAACCCCTTCCTGCTACATTAACAATTAAATTTTGTGCAGGAAGTTCCACGGGTTACCTTCTGAACACATGGAGTGGTAAATCAACGGTCATTTAAGGGCCTCAATCCACCTGCGACATCATTATTTGCCACCTTGGCGTGCGCAAAATGTGGCTGCTTTCCTGACAGAGAAACCAGGTGATCTACCTTCTGGTTTGGGGGCCTCCATTTTCCCAAATCTGGTGTATTTGGGCTGCTTAAAGCTACTCCTTCCCTTGCTTCCTTTCCTTCTCCCCTCTTCTCAACCTTGCACCACCCCTCGAAAAACACCACCTGCTGACTGGTGCAGCTCTTCATGGCAGCACAACCTGGGCCTCCAGTGATTCCTTGGTTCCTTGAAGCCACTGCCATTTGATTGGCCTGCTTTGATCCAATAGCTCCCCCAATTCAAGGAAAACATCTATGCATTGAAGAGGAGGAACAGTGAAAGAAAAGGACATTAATAACTATTGCGAGGTTCAGGAGATTTCTTCTGATTCAGTGACTAATAAATATTTTATTTTTCAAAAGAATACCTCAGTACCTAATTCTTAAATTTTTTCCTAACTTTTTCAGTTAATGGTTCACCTGCCTCATCTAGAGTTGAGAGCTGTGAAGACAATTCCGAATGGATTTCGACAATACCAGGTATTGACATTTAATAATTCTGCAAAGCATGCACAGACAGGTTGTCAGTCTATATATTATTGGCATGTAGTAAGCAGGAAAATTTAAGCCTGAATGTAACCTATATTTGATTTTTAAACAGGCAAAACCTACTTTTAAAGGTTGTAAATGTGCATGGTCAAGGCAGTTCCAAACAGTGTGCTGTTATAGCACACATGATGCGTTCTTCAGTGTTCTACAGCAAACCATTTTATCAACTGGCACCTATGGGACCAGGAATGTACCAGTTGATCAAAAATTCTGGTTGATCAAGAGGTCCATGTAGTCAATATAAGAACACACTAAGCAATAGAAACATAATGCAGAGGTTATAGACATGAAATTTATACTTTATTTACAGCATATATCACTTAAATAATAATACTGTATACTTCCCATATTAATATATAAAATTGTTGCTGGTTTATTGAGAGTGTTAGTTCATTAGATGCCAGTTAAAACAAAGTTTGCTATATTTTAACCAGAATTTTAAACCAGTATTTTTAAAAGCAGAGACCTTTGCAGAGAAATAGCTAATCGCTTGGAAGGAAATTGGCTGATATGATGATATGGTATCAGGTTCAGTATAGCATTGGCATAATGATCAAATAGCTGGATTCTGCTACCAAATTCCTGCATTTATTTATTCATCAGTTACGGATTTTTTTTTTATCAAACCAAAGATGATACTTTCTCATTTTGGCGTGGATTAAAAGAAGCAGGGTTATTGGAAGAAGTCATACAGGAGCTTCAGAAAGAGATGCAAAGTACTCTGAAAGGTCTTCAACATAGACTGCATCCGCCTCCTCTTCAAGTTGTTGGTGAGTGCACCTTTTTTATACAGTTTATAAAATATGACCAAGGCGTGATTTCACAAGTCAAATTTTGCTGTTCTTGCACCTGGCTGCAGAGAAAAAAATCAGGTAAGAGGACCAAATTAGGCAATTTTCTTGATTTTCCTTCCATACTTTTCCTTGGCTGATTATTCTCCATAAAAAATACCTTGGTACAGGAAAAAGTAAATCTTACTCTCAGAGACAGTAACAACAGACAGTTTAAGTTTTATTGCCTTTTGTGATGAGCGTTGTGTGTGTATAAGGGATATATATAGTTCGGAGTCCATATTTCAAAATGGAGGTAGATAGGTGTTGGTTATTTCTGCAAAGGGCTTTATTTATTTAAACAACAAGGTCAGCAAGTCCTTCTAGAACAGTTGCCTAAGTACAACATTTGTCAAAAAGCAGGTGACTTAAAGATTCCTGTGGTGTTAATGGAAAGATGTTTATGCTGTTGGGTTTATGATAGATAGGGTAAACTTAAAGACCGTCAGCTTTGCTTTCAGTTTAAAGAAATCTACGATTGAGCAATCTTTTTAAAAATCAGTTTAGAAAGCAATACAGTTCAGAAGCAAGTTTACTTTCATTGCTAGAAGGAGATCAGGGCAGTTCAAGGAATCAGCCAGCTAAACAGAGGGTTTGCTTTGTGAAGTTCCCACACCAGGAGAATTTGGTTAGGAATCTGCAGGTTATTGGATCTGAGAAAGTTAAGGTCCTCAGATTTGTGAAAAGTTGCAATCAGACTTAGAAAGCGCTCATTGAATTATCTCCTCAGTCCACGAGAAAGAAACTGTGGGGAGTCATTTATTAGAAACTTGAAACGTTGAGATGGGGTGAGATTTCTTTGGACTTGTGTCTCTAACGGATAGTATCTTGAAACGAGTTGAAACTTTGCTTTGCTGTGTGATTTAAGATCATTCTAACTGTCTTCTACTTTTGAGGTAGTTTGGTTTGTTGTTTTTTGCATAATAAACATCTGTTGTTAAAGAAAGTCTGCAGTATCATGTGAATACATTTCAGTGGCTAACTAACTGAAAAAGAAGAGATGTGACCTGTTCAGCCAGGTTTCATTCTGGGATTTGACTTGTCCAGGAGTATCATCAACTGGGAGCATAACACTTTTCTGAAATAAACTTATAAGCTTATCTCAGTATTCTTACCATTGCTTCCCCTGACTGAAATAGATTGAAAATTAGTCATTAGATGGATAGAGACACATACAAACCAGATGTTGGGAGAAGGAGCTATCTGCTGGCAAATAGTACTGGAAACTACAAAAGGGATCAAGTCTGCAATATAATGCATATACATGAATGTCAGAAGCATGGTGCTAAAAAGGGAGGTTTTAGCAGTAGGCAACTATGATATGGTAGGAGTATCGGAAACAAGACTGATATTCAAGGATTGCAGTCAAAACATAGAAACGTAGAAGATAGGAACAAGAGTAGACGATTTGATGATTCAAGCCTGCTCCGCTATTCAGTATGATCACGGTTGATCATTGAGCTCAATACTCTAATCTTGCCTTCCTCCCCATATCCCTTGATCCTTTTAGTCACAAGATCTTTACCTGCATCTGTCTTGAAAACACTATGTTTTGGCCTCAACCAGTTTCTGTGGTAGTGAATTTCACAAGCTCACCACTCTCTGGATGAAGAAATTTCACCTCACCGGTGTCCTAAAAGGTTTATTCGTTATCCTTAAACCATGACTGCTGGTTCTGTAATCGCCTGCCATCAGGAACATCCTACCTGCATCTAACCTGTCTAGTTCTGTTAGACTTTTATAGGTTTCTGTGAGATCCCCCTTCATTCTTTGTAACTCAATTGAATACAATACTAACTGACACAATCTCTCCTCATAAATCAGACCTGCCATCCCTCGCAGGAATCAGTTTAATAAACCTTTGCTGCACTACCTTTAAAGCTGGAACATCTTTCCTCAGATAAGGAGACCAGAGCTGTGCTCAAAATTCTAGGTGTGGCTGCACCAAGGCCCTGCAAAATTGCAGCAAGTCAACCTTGTTCCTATTCGTGCATCACCAGATTATTGAGAAAAAAATCTAGACACAGGAGTGGAAGAAGGATAAGATTTTATGCAGGGATTCCTGGGAGATTTAAGAAATTAATTCTGTAGGAGGTACTAAGTTGGCTAATAAGCCAGTCAGACTTTGAGGTAATATGTAAAGTTAGTGAGCAAAAAAAAGTTGGATTTCTATGAAGTGGTAAGTTGAGTTTGGAAAAGTGGGAACATTTATGAAAAGTGAATTCAGTCCGTCAGCAATAAATTGGAAATACGTAAGTAGCTTTGATTTGTTTAACCTAACACATGGCTGTTTTGTGACCCATAGCAACAGGGAAACCACAAGAAGTAATGTAAATCTTAATATGGTAATAGCATCTGACCATGAAAACATATAGAAAGTAGAAATCTTGGAACTCTTAGTTCAAAGTGACTGTAGAGTGATCCAAATTTGAAATGATTTGGAACTCCATTACTGAGAATTAGGGGGTTATTATGTAATTTTAGCAAGGTTAAGCTGAAACCAATCAGATAACTGCCTAAACAGATTAATTTAATGGCTTTGTTCTGCAGCAGTTCAGTAAAGGACAAATGGTGCATCTGCTGTGTTGCTAGTTCAGGAGACTAGCGCTTGTGTTGCGGTAGAAGCCAACAAAGTTGTTGTTCCGGAACCTGTTGTATGGTATTGTTGCAGTGGTAATGTCCACTACTTCCACAGTGGAAAGTAAGAGCTTCGTGTTCTATTTGAAGCCTTGTGGCATATAGAGCCTGTTTCTTCCATGCTACTAGCCAGAGACTGGAGCATATCTGGTCGGCACCGGTGTCTATCATTGCTAGCCTTTTAACATAAGCCCACTCCATTGAGATCCTCATCTGAGTTCCCTGAATCTGTGACCTTAAAGGGAGTTTGGACTTGTGCTGATGTGAAATTGCAGCATTTGCCAAACTTGCTGAATATTTCCCGTATTTTCCATAATCATTTTGCTTTCTATTATTTGACGATTATGATGTTAGGGATGAGTTCTGAGTATTAAGGTCTGCTGCTAGGTGAGTGACACTGTGGTGAGTGAGAGTTGTCATGCAGGTGCATTCACTCACCTTAACCATCCAGCTGAGGTAATTAAACATTTTTAGCTCTTCTGCCAGGTACTGGGAGCCACACTCCAGGCACTGACCACCCTTGCCATTTGCTCCCATTTCTATTGCACGCTCAGTCTTGAGGCCTTCCTGCTCCAACTGGAAATATGACCTCCTTTCTGACCTCCATATCTCTGCATTATGCACTTGGGATGGCATCACTATAGTGGGGATCCTACTCCTTATCTGGGTGTGCCGTCACCCTCCTCCAGCGGCAAAAAAGTTGAATCCAGCAGCCTGCAGTGCATTATTGCAATTTTGTTTTTAGAGGGACTGTGTCTGTAAAATGGAAAAATTTCCTGGAGCATGTGTTTCTTTTAGAATGCCAGTTGGTTGTCTGCAATGTGCACAGGACAATGTGGAATAGAGCCTGGGACTGAGCAGGACTGTTTGTAGTCATGTTACTATTAGAGAAATTAGGTAGGGGTATACAAATCTTATGTCTTAACCACCTCATTTCCAATGGGAACAAAAGAGGGTCAGCTGCAAAGTCTAAACCTGTGTCCAGAAATCAAGGTGAATGTTTTTCAAGTCCTGCAAGTTTGGATTATAAGAATAACTGAATTCTTCAAAAACCAAAGCAAAAATACGATCAGCTAACAAAATTTTCAACTAAATTTACTTTTGGAAATTATGTACTGTACTTATATTTTGAAAATTAAATACCAAACAATTACTTTTTAAAAAATGGTTCTGTTTATTTGCTGTTATCATTTTTCATTGTTTGCTAAGCAATTCTAAAACTTTGGGCTGAATGTAATCATTTACTAATTTTATATTGATTAATATTTTCAGATGCAGTCATTCTTAACAATATTGTACAAAGTTTTGGTCTTTTGGACCTTGTTAAAAAAGTTTTGACAAGTCATAAGAGCCAAATGGATCGTTCCCGAGAGCAGTACACACGAGATTTAGCAAGTAAGTATATGTACAGTTGAGTTCTGCTGCAGAAAGTTGACACAATTCTTATTTAACTATTACAAAAAACAGAAGATCTTCTTTTCTGTTAAACATTGCAATATTTTTGAAGTACCTTTACATATGGTCTCTTTTTAATGGTGAGAGATGGACAGTTTTTTTTGTGTGCTATCATCAAGTGTATTGTGTAACTGGCTTGTTGAAGGTACAACAAAGAACAGCTTGAGGTGACACCTGACACTGTGTATAGAAATTACTCTTCTCCCCTTAATGTCTTTCTCTGACAATGCAGTTGAGTGGGACAGACTGTAGATAGAATCCTCATCGCACTAACCTGACATGCAAAGTCTTTGTACTTCAACTTGTTGCATTCTCTAAATGGTTGTTTTGATGAAATCTTTGTCAATCTCATTTTACTGTGCCATGCTCTGAGAATAACTGTCTGTAGACATCCTCAGTTGGTGTGTCATAGTGTGAGAGATGGTTATGTTGATAGAGGGAAATAGGTCAGGAGAAATCTCATTTGGAGCATAAAGAACAAAATGAACCCCTTGAATTGAATGACCTGTGTTGAGCTTTACATTTTACGTCATTTTATATGGAGGACTATAGTGCGAGGCAGATTACGTTCTTGTTACAAAGTTGAGATTTAAAAAGTTAACATAAGTATCTTTGTATTGTATTGAAAAGTTGCAAATACTCCTCTAGATGTGTTTTGTTTTGTTTTAGCTCTGGAACAACAATGTGATGAGCATCGTAAACGAGCCAAAGAATTAAAGAACAAATCCCAGCACCTAAACAATGTTCTCATGACCTTGACTCCAATTGCAGCAGCACCGCCTTCCAAAAGGCCTCGCCTTACTAGAGCAACATCAGGACCAGCAACAGTGGCAGCTCATATGGTCACAACATCACAGTCAGGCCAGCTTACATTGGCTTCTGGAGTGCCTCTGTCTCAACTGACAAATGTAGGAAAAATGGCAACATTATCCACTGTTCCAGTCACTGCAGTTGGCAAGATTTCACCGCATACAGCAACGTTTACTGCGACAGCTTCACCACTAATTGGAGGGTACAATGTTCTGGCATCTTCAGGCTCTGGGATACCCAACACTGTTGAGATTCACCCAGAGACGTCGAATCTAGCAGTCCTGAGCACAGCTGCCATCCAAGATGGTAACACCGTGTTGAAATTAGTAAGCCCAATCCAGCTATTCACTACAGTCCCTGGCCTTAATGCTGCGCTCCATAACAATACCCAGATGGCATCCGTTGGAAGCACACTTATGGCTGTGCCATCTGCTGAAACCACCACATCAGGAGAGGGACATGCCACTATACAGGGAACATCAATAAGTGAAGAACATGAACAGAAACCATAGCCTTGGAATAATGGTTCACATTATTAGAATGTTTTGTTTCAAAGCCCTGTTGCTACTGAATGTAACTTTTGAAAACAGTACCAGGATGGTTTCTGTTATGCTATGGTTACACCTACACAGTGCCACCAAGTGGTAATAATACATTAGAGTGGAAGCAGCAAAATGATGGAGCAGGAGCAAATGTCTCAACTCTCTTTCAGACTTTGGCTTAAGCACAGAAGTGCAGACATTTATCAGATATGCTTGATAGAGTTGTTTATAATGTATTTTACAGAGCTTTTCTGCACTGTATTTTGTGTGCTTTATACCTAATTACACTCAAAATGTTGTCTTGTGGTTGCTTTACAAAATCCATAATCGAGTTAATGGCAGTTTTACTTTACAATCGGTGCTCTCATTGTTTTCTAATAATTGTTTTATTGTGTTGCGCTGTTTGGATAATCACATGATTAATATGGATAATTTGTAAATATTCGGCCGATGTAAGTTACAATCTGATCTTGTACAATTGGCATTGTATTTAGAATAAGGCTGGTACATGATTTAGGATTTTTGTCATATGAAAAGCTAACCAGGCAAATACAAACAAATGGCTATGCTATAAGTAAGCTGAGTTTTTAAAAATGGATTTAAATAGTATCTGTAAAAGAATTATTGCATTTGCGCTTTAGTGGCGGCCACAATATAAGGTACCATTTTATTCATGGTGAAAATGTGGTTATTTGAATGTATGAACGATACAAAAGTGATTTAGTGTTTCTATAGCAAGTTACGCTTTACACATCATAAACTTTTTTATACTGCTGTATGTTTATAAAAATGATCAGATCAATACTTATAAGCTAAACTGATGAAAAGAAATGGAACATAAATAGTTTAAAGTCTCTATTTTCTCCCTCTCCACATTAAACTGAAACCATGTATTTATAATCAATATATTTGAACTTCTTAGTTTTTCAAGAAATTGTTCCCTTTGTTACACGTGTGATTTTATTATAAACTATAGGTTCCACAACTTAGGCAGATATGAACAATATCTGAATAGTTTAGTTTCGTCATATTCTCCTTCATGCCAAAATTCAAACTTCTTTTTCCGATTTTCCATACATAGATGTCCACAGATACATGAGATTACTGAGAGTTTATGATTGGATAACCAAGTGTTGAATCAAATCCTTTGGCTGCAGATAGATTGTCTGTACTCTTTTGTAGAATATTGAGTGAAAGCTTCTTCTGAGACATTTTTCACAAGTGTTCCCTGGCAGCATTTTGAAGTCCTCCTGATTCATTGACTTATTGAAGTTAAAATAGTGGGTGACTGATCAGTTCCTGATCAGGCTCTTGAACTGCCTGTTTTGAGATATCTGAGACCAGCCGCATTAATAAATTGCCCTCAGAATGATTTGTTTTTTGCCCCTTTTTGGGGAAGAGATTGACCTGTACACATCACCTCTTCATAGTTACAGAGGCTGAGAATAGTAGCACACAGCAGGGAAGATTTGCAGGCATAAACCCATATTTTGCCACAATGCATCGAATAATAGATAAACTGGGAATGAGTGATAAGATGATCTGGGTTTCTATTTTATATCACATAAATGGTGATGACATGCCAGTCAATAAGTAATTTTCTGCTCTCTTTTGTTTTATATATACTGTCTGTATATGAAGTTTCCAGGTAATAAGTGTGACAGTTTTGTGAGGTTTTTAATTGGGGTTTGGTTGCAACTTTTTGTGAAGAGTACCAATGCTTCTGGCTGTTTTTCAGGAGTGTTCCATGTTCTTGCAATGTCAAGTGAATTTTCAAAAAAGGATATTTAATTCCTTCATGAAAATTATTTGTAATAAATGACAGAGAAATTCTGTGTTATCTATCAATATTTATCTGTTTCTCTGTTAGGATTTTTTTTCCTTTTTTAAAACAAGCTGAACACTTTTAGTGAAGAGTGAATCTGGTTAGCTTGGCTGCTGCAATTTGAATAAAGCTTTCATTTCTTACGGATTTAAAAATACATTTTAGAACACAAAAAAAGGGATCTTGAGTTGCATTTATGTAGCGCCTTATCATGTTGAACTATCTCAGAGCATAATCTAGTTGGTGTATTCAGTTGGAGAGAGTGGCTCGTAAATCAGGGGCTTCCCCCTTGAGAATTCTTTTTCCTGATAAAATATGAAAGGAAATTTTGTTGCTAAATATGACTGACTGACTGAAGATGTTGGAAAATGAGAGACTGATGGTAAAGAAGATGGCAGTCAATTATTATTGATTGTGATGTAATTGTACAAAACGTGAATGCTTTAGAATAACTGCATTTGAAATCAGAATGTGATCAAAACTTACTGGGGAGAATCCTCTAAAATTTTGTAAATAAAATAAAGATTGTGTAACATAGAGATGTTTTGCAAAATATCCACTGCATCTGTATTCTTATTCCATATTTGTCCCTGTTGGTTGACTTCCATGCTGTTACTGTATTGTACTATTTTGTCTGTGGCAAAAAAGGCCATTTTCCATTTTGTACAAACTTTTATTGGCATAAATTGGGTATCTCAAAGTGTTAAAATATTAAAAAAAATCTGTTTTGGTTTGAAAGTAATGCAGACTTTTTGGGGGCATGACTAGGTGAATATTAGCATATGTATGGTATTGTCCATTAAAAAAAAAGAAAGAATAATGTTTATTTTTTTAATTTTTGTGCCGTTTGACACATATATTTGGACTAGTGACTTTCTATAACTGAACAACAAATTCAGTTTTATTATAAGATTTACTTGTGCCTTGGAAATTTACTTTTGATACTGTCCACTCTTCAATGAAAATAGTAAATGAGTGACTGTTACTTATATCCATGCCTTTATTTCTTTTCATATTATTTAATTAATTATTATGCTTTATGTTTTTTTAAAATGAGGATATGAGTTCAGATAGATGTAAAACATATCAGTTGGAGGAAGGTACCCACACTCCAGTTGTGTTGCACCACCTTCCACATCAATGGAAAATAAATTATGTACGGTGATGGTCCGTACACATTTGCATGCAGTTTTGAGTAATGATTAAAATAAACAGGACCAACCTGCCAGGATGCAAGAAAATTAAGTAAAGCATTTATAAAGTCAGCTCGATCACAAAATTGTACCAATAGGCTGGGCGCTGCAGATACGTAAGAAGCAGTACTTGTTCACTGACGTGACTGCATGTCTCATTTTTTTTGCTACTTCTCAAGAATGCCTAGCACAGGTGCAATTGGTAGAGGGCACCCACTAAAGGCCCCATTGAACAGAAGCATCAAAGATGCCAGATTTTCCCTGGACTGACATATAAAACTTGCATGAAACATCGGAAAGAAAATAAAGTCTGCTAGGCATCTAGCAGGCAAAAATATAAATTTTGGGATGTGGTGGGAAGTAGTACAGTTACTAAACACTGATTCTTTTAACCTCAGGACTATGACCAGTACAGCAAAAGATTCACTGATCTGCCCAGGGCAGACAAGGCAACACTTCAAATAAGGTAGGAGCAAATTACTGCAGATGCTGGAATCTGAACTGAAAACAAAAAATGCTGGAGATCACAAAGGGTCAGGCAGTATCCATGGAGAGAAAGCAAGCAAACGGAAGAGTCATCTAGATTCAAAACATTAGCTTGCTTTCTGTCCGTGAATGCTTCCTGACCTTATGTAAAGGGCCTTTAACTATTGATTACCAATCCAATTTCAAACTCCAAAAGTAATAGTTGTGCAAATAACCCTTCACAATGGAACATGGTTAACACTAACACAAGATCTCAATGTATAGTCACCTCTGTGCCCTCACAACATTTACATGCATGCACAACCTTAAAGCCATTTACCTTAACAGATAATGTCATCACATAATTTCATTGCAACCATGCCACTGATCCACACTCAATTGTTATCCTTCACCTAATTGCTTAATCTTTTATTAGGCGCAAATGCTGTACAATGCCCAAAAGGGTTCGTCTGAAACACCTCATGGTTAACAAGAGTTTATCCATTGAGCTCATGGGAAGATCCCCTTCCATTGTGAGAGATGGTAGGGCTAGCAGTATGGTGCCTGCATCAGGTAAATATTTTGTGTTTAATTTGTGGAAAATCGGTACATGTTCTGCTTTTTCAACAAATAAATATCACATGCATAAATAAACACAATGGGTCTAATTTTAAGTTACACATTTTGGTGGGGGTTAAAATCCGGTCCATGATTGCTTCAATAAAATATGTTTTTAATTTAAATCAGGCATCAGTCAGATGTTTTTGCATTAATGAAGTAAGTTGAGTAATATAGTGAACAATTTTTGTGAATGGCCACTCTCGCTGTCAATCAAATATTTCCGGCTATTGCATCAGAAAGCATTATTTAGCTTGGGGTAAGAGCGCTTTTAGATTTGAAAAAATACTGTTGGCTACAGATGCTAACTTTTGTTAGCCACAGTCATGGAGTGAAAAACCAAGTTAACATTTCAGATTAATGATCTTTCTTCAGAACATGTCAAACATTGGCCTGTATTTTGCAGTCAGGTCAGTTGCAAAGCTGCTGATTGTAAAGGAGGTGGTTTGGAAAAATCTAGTGATCTTTGGCAAGAATTTTTCATTTCCTGACAACAACTTAATTCCAATGCCAAGGCAAGAGGATTCCATGGTGTTCCATTGCAGTGATGTTAGCAGACAGGCTACTAATTGAGCAATCAAACCAGGATTCCACACAACAAACCATGACATTAAAAGGACTTGAAATCCTGCACTTTGAATTTAAAGTTTCAGATAACAAGTTAGATGTACAGCTATATTAAAATAGAAGCTGAAATTAAGATAAATAGATTCTAGAAAAAGTAATCAAATCTGAGTTTCAAAATATATGGAATTTTAAACAATTGTGGCATAATTGCCATTCCACAAATATAAAATTAGTTTTTTGAATTTGCAGGAGTGTTTAGTTATGTGTAGAATTTTGTGCTCATCTGTCCTTTTACATGGAAAGCTTGGAGCTCAGAGGACTGGTGAATGGGTTGGGAGCCCAGCAAGTTAACACCCCGATTAAGTCTGGCCAGAAAGCTCATGGACAGCCTTCTTCCACTGTCACGAATTTATGCACTTCAGTGGTAAATTAAGAGCATTTCTGTTATGACTCTAACTGGAGTCTTGCCCTATGTGACCAGAAAGTTGTATTTTGTAACCTTAACAATATGTTGCAGTATCAAGGAACTTTTTTTATATATGACAGCCCATGAACAGGAGCAATATCCAATAACATTTAGCAATATCTGTTTCTAGTACTGCTGTCCACATTTTTTTTCTCTATTCATTTGTGGGAGGTGGGCGTCGCTGTCTGGCCAGCAGTTCTTGCCCATCCCTAGTTGCCCTTGAGAAGGTGGTGGTGAGTTGCCTTCTAGAACTGCTGCAGTCCTCCTGCTGTGGGTTGACCCACAATGCTATTAGGGAGGGAATTCCAGGATTTTGACCCAGTGACAGTGAAGGAACGGCAATATATTTCCAAGTCAGGATGGTGCGTGGTTTGGAGGGGAACTTGAAGGTGATGGTGTTCCCATCTATTTACTGCTCTTGTCCTTCTAGATGGATGGGTTCATAGGTTTGGAACATGCTGTCTGAATCTTTGGTGAATTTCTGCAATGCATCTTGTAGCTATTACACACTACTGCAACTGAGCGTTGGTAATGGATGCTTATGGATGTAGTGCCAATTAAGCAGGCTGCTTTGTTCTGGATGGTGTCAAGCTTCTTGAGTGTTGTTGGGGCTGCACTCATTCAGGCGAGTGGGGAGTATTCCATCACACACCTGACTTCTGCCTTGTAGATGGTGGACAGGCTTGGAGGAGTCGAGGTGAATTGCTGGCTGCAGTATTTCGAGGTTCTGGCCTACTCCGGTAGCCACTGCATTTATGTGGGGAGTCCAGTTGAATTTCTGGTCAATGATAACACCCAGGATGTTGATAGTGTGGGATTCAGTGATGGCAACACCATTTAATGTCGAGGGACGGTGGTTAGATTGTCTGTCATTGGTGAGGGTCATAGCCTAGCATTTGTGTGGCGCGAATGTCACTTGCCACTTGTCAGCCCAAGCCTGAATATTGTCCAGATCTTGTTGCATTTGAATACGGACTGTTTCAGTATCCGAGGAGTCACGAATGGTGCTGAACATTGTGCAATCATTGGCGAACATCCCCACTTTTGACCTTATAATGGAGGGAAGGTCATTGATGAAGCAGCTGAAGATGGTCTGGGACACTACCCTGAGGAACCCCTGCAGAGATGGCCTAGAGCTGAGATGATTGCCAACAACCATGACAATCTTCCTATATGTCAGGTATGACTCCAACACCGGAGAGTTTGCTGCCAGATACCCATTGATTCCAGTTTTGCTAGGACGCCTTGATGTCAAGGGCTGTCACTCTCACCTCACCTCTGGAATTCAGCTCTCTTGTCCATATTTGAACCAAGGTTGTAATGAGGTCAGGAGCTGAGTGGCCCTGGCAGAACCCGAACTGGGTGTTTATGAGCAGGTGCTTCTTGATAGCACTGTTGATGACACCTGCCATCACTACTGATGATTAGGAGTAGACTGATAGGGCGGCAGTTGGCCGGTTTGGCTTTTGTGTACAGGACATTCTCGGGCAATTTTCCACATTGTCAGTCAGATACCAGTGTTGTAACTGTGCTGGAACAGCTTGGCTAAGGGACCGGCAAGTTCTGGAGCACAAGTCATTAGTACTATTGCCGGAATGTTTTCAGGGCCTGTAGCCTTTTCAGTATTCAGTGTCTCCAACTGTTTCTTGATATCACGTGGAGTGAATCAAATTCACATGTCATTTTGGTTTTCAGATAGTGCAATGAAAATCTTATTGCAGTTTATGACCAGAGAAGAGAGATCATTTAGGAAGTATAGATGGTGAATTTCCAGATAAATTGGTAAAAGTACATAGAAGAAGTTGTCATTATAGAAACTCAGTTCAATTCAGTCACTGTGGCTGGAATACCAAATTAATAACTTCACCAGATCGTAGAAGCTAATATATGTTTGTGGGGGCATAGTGGTCAGCATTGTAATGCAGTGAATTATGGTAGTCAACTTTGGTGGAGTTAGATCCTGAATACAACTACGTGATAATTGACCAGATAATCTCTTTCAGTTATGATGCCTGATGGGTGATAATTGTTTGTGACAATGAATTCTAACTTTGAAATGTTATTTATATTAATAACACCCATTGTTATTATTGTTTTCCAGAAGTAGAAGGTGTTTCTGTTAATTAATGACAGCATTAACAAGTTCAGGAAACCACGATGTGAAAGCATTTTTTTTCTCTTTATTCATTCACAAGATGTGGGCATCACTGGCTAGGCCAGCATTTATTGCCCATATGATCACTGTTTCAAAATAAAAGATTGTTGACTTAAGACAGACTAGAATTTGTTTTTCCACATACAGGGTTATGAGTTAGTTCTGAAGACTTTGAATGTTTTATGGCAGTGATAGATGCTTGAAAATTTATGGAGGTAGGTGAGAACGTAGAGGACTCGATCAGACATGATCTTATTGAATAGTGGAGCAAGCACAAAGGGCTGAGTGGCCTACTCCTTTTTCTATTTCATACTTAATTAATCCATCATCTAATAAATTACAGAAAATTCTGAGTGGGTTAATACTCAACCCAGCATTATGAGCCTCAGCATCATTCTGGATTTTACCTGCCAACATTATTCTTTATAATAGTTGTACAATTGTAATATTTTATTATCTCTCAGTCACCATTACTCTTCCAGTTTTAGAGTCATGCAGCATGGAAACAGAACCTTCTGTCCAACCAGTCTATGCTAACCATAATCCCAAACTAAACTAATCCTACCTGCCTGTGCTTAGCCCATATCTCTCCAAACATTTTTTATTCATGTATATTTATCTAAATGTCTTTTAAACGTTGTAACTGTACCCACATCCACCACTTTCTCTGGAAGTTCATTCCACACCTGAACCACTCTCTTCGCAAAATAATTGCCCTCATGTCTTTTCTAAATCTTTCTCATGTCATGTTAAAAAATATGCCCCTACTCTTGAAATCCCTCACCCTAGGGAAAAGACACCTGTCGTTCACCTTATCTATACCCCTCATTATTTTATGAATCTCTATAAGGTCACCTCTCAACCTCCTACGCTCCAATGAAAAGAGTCCCAGCCTTTAAAGTTTCTGAGAAGATTTGTAGCTCAAGTTGTGGATGAGGTTGTAGAGCTGATGTGTTTGATTGCAGACATTTCGTCACCCTGCTAGGTAACATTGTCAGTGCACCTCCAGTGAAGCATTGGTGTTCTGGGAAATTATAGACTCTTGGTTTTAGTTAATGCAGAATTTACTCCAGGTGCATCTGTGGCTATCATATTCCAATGGATTAACAAGGTTTGTTAGATTGTAACTTTTTTTTTTAGTATTTTTGATTGTAGACTGCAATGAGAAAAGAACTGTTTTAAAAGCCAATGATGGTTATAGGACTACTTAACTGTTTTATGTAAGGAAGTTACTTGTCAGTCAATGTAAGTGTTTACACAGCTGTTGGCTCAAGCCGTGGAGGAAGCTGTTACAGATGAGCTGGAGCTAGGGTGCTGATACGAATGGAGATTTGCTTACCAATAAGTAACTAATTGATTTGTGAAATGGTGACCAGGACTACTTGATACCAACAGCATAGTGGGTTTAACGAGTAGACAAAAAGAATGGTTTGGGAGATTGTACCTGAAAATTTATCTGTTTGGCTAGAGTAAAGTTGTGTCCAAGCTCCTATACAATCATATTATTCATAAGAGATAGTAGGAACTGCAGATGCTGGAGAATCTGAGATAACAAGGTGTAGAGCTGACTGAACAGAGCAGGCCAAGCAGCATCAGAGGAGCAGGAAGGCTGACGTTTCGGGCCTAGACCCTTCTTCTTCAGAAGATTTTCTGAATCAGTACCATCAACTAGCATCATTGACATGTGCTTGGTACAAAATCTCAAGGTATTCAGGTTGGGTAATGTAAAGGTATGTGGAAATAATTATTCCTCTGAGGCTGGAAACTACATGATAAATAGCATTTATTTCCTTGTCATAGTAATGTGAACGTGATTTATGTAGTGTAATTAATTTTCCTGAATTCCTTACTGCTTTATTAGTGACTCCAACCAGTTGACAGTCTTAATAGGTGTGCAAATCAGGAGGCAGCCCCACAACAAAATAATTTTCCTCAAAAAACCAACTGGTAATTCTACATCCTTGTAAATTACCACCACATCGCCACTTGCTCTTTTCTCTTAAAGTCCTCAAACTGTTGTATATTTCCTGATTGGTACCCATTTTCTTAAACAATCTGTCTTATATCTGGCCCTGAATGAGCTGCCAAGTACATATTTTTTCCCTTCACAAAGACTTGATTTCCAACTTCGTATCGTCTTATGAGTATGTCCTTTCTCAGTTCATCAGTTTCTGAAACTCACCTTCATGTCTTTGTTACTCTAGCTTTGACTACTCAAATGCAATCACAGCAAGGTGTCTCACATTACACCCTTTGTAAACTTGTGGTCTTTAACTCTGCTACCTGTGTTAAGCAGGTCTTGATTTAAAGTTCTCTGATTTTCAAATCCTTCCATGGTCTCATCCATCCCTATTTCCATAATATCCTCCAACTCCACAACCTTCGATAATGATTCCACTGTGTTGAGTGGTCTTCACTTTCAGGAAACTAGAGATCTGGAATACCCTGAGATAACCAGGTGTAGAGCTGGATGAACACAGCAGGCCAAGCAGCATCAGAGGAGCAGGAAGGCTGATGTTTTGGGCCTAGACCCTTCTTCAGAAATGGGGGAGGGGAAGGGGGTTCTGAAATAAATAGGGAGAGAGGGGGAGGCGGACAGAAGAGAAGATAGGTGGAGGAGACAGACAGGTCAAATAGGCGGGGATGGAGCCAGTAAAGGTGAGTGTAGGTGGGGAGTTAGGAAGGAGATAGGCCAGTCCAGGGAGGACGGACAGGTCAAGGGTGTGGGATGAGGCTAGTAGGTAGGAGATGGGAGTGGGGCTTGAGGTGGGAGGAGGGGATAGGTGGGAGGAAGGACGGGTTAGGGAGGCGGGGACAAGCTGGGCTGGTTTTGGGATGCGGTAGGGGGAGGGAAGTCCACATTGATACCATTGGGCTGCAGGGTTCTCAAGCGGAATATGAGGTGCTGTTCCTGCAACCTTCAGGTGGCATTGTTATGGCACTGCAGGAGGCCCAGGATGGCCATGTCGTCTGAGGAATGGGAGGGGGAGTTGAAATGGTTTGCGACTGGGAGGTGCAGTTGTTTAGTGTGAACCGAGCGTAGGTGTTCTGCAAAGCAGTCCCCAAGCCTCTGCTTGGTTTCCCCGATGTAGAGGAGGCCACAACGGGAACAGCGGATACAGTATACCACATTAGTAGATGTGCAGGTGAACATCTGCTTGATGTGGAAAGTCTTCTTGGGGCCTGGGTTGGGGGTGAGGGGGGAGGTGTAGGGGCAGGTGTAGCACTTCCTGCGGTTGTGGGGTGGGGGGGGGCTGGAGGGGAGTGTGGAGCGGACAAGGGAGTCCAGGAGAGAGTGGTCCCTCCAGAAAGCAGATAAGGGTGGGGAGGGAAAAATGCCTTTGGTGGTGGGGGTCGGATTCCAGATGGCAGAAGTGTCGGAGGATGATGCGTTGGATCCGGAGGTTGGTGGGGTGGTACGTGAGGACGAGGAGGATTCTGTTTTGGTTGTTATTGCGGGGAGGGGGTGTGAGGGATGAGTTGTGGGAAATGCAGGAGACGCGGTCGAGGGCGTTTTTGACCACTGAGGGGGGAAGTTGCGGTCCTTGAAAAATGAGGACATCTGAGATGTACGGGAGTGGAATGCCTCAGCCTGGGAGCAGATGCGACGGAGGCGAAGGAATTGGGAATAGGAGATGGCATTTTTGCAGGAAGGTGGGTGGGAGGAGGTGTATTCTAGGTAATACCCTCTTGTATTTCTCCTACACCTGTACGCCCAATTACTTTTCTATGCTTCTTAAAAGCCATCTCTTTGGTCAAGATTTTGTCATCTCATCTACTATCTGTGGCTGGTTGTTAAATGTCATTTCTGGCGTTCCTGTGAAACATCTTAGAGCATTTTAATACACGAAAGGCACGCTACCTAAGGTTATTTGCCTAGAAAAGGGGATCTGCGTGCCTATCCCTGAAAATTGCATTTCTAGAAACTGTCCCCTGTGAAGAAAGAATAATACATGCGTTTGGATCCAATTTTGTGTCCTTCCTTGTTTCTATAGGGCAATGTCATTATTTCATTGACATAGAAGCCAAATGTTAAGCATTGCCCCACATAAAGATGGCGCCATTCATTACCGGGCTCGATGATGAAATATTTAATATTGCAGCTTTATTAATTATTATCCCTTTACTGCTTTTTATTCCGGCCAAGCCCAAATCAAAACACAATCGCACTCTAAATGTAAGCACGCACAGCATGAATCATGACATGAGGATCAGTTTAGGATTACGCCTGGCTCTTGTTTTCCTCTTGTTATTTACGTGAAACAGTGAGGTAACTTCCGAGCATGATAGCAAGAGTCAGGAATCGAAACTTGTAAACCCGGTTCCTGGGTGTTCGCCTTTCAATGCAACCGAAACTATCGCCGAAGGAGTCAACTAATTCACACTGCAGATCCATCTGTAGAAAATGTATTGTTTTGTCTTTAAAGAGATTGGTTCAACCTCCGGTTGCTCATGAAGTTTCAGGAATCGACCGCGGTAGGTGACAACGCTGCCGCTTGTGTCTGACCAAGCCTTTCCTTATGATGAGAATAACAGGAAGTTTACAGAGTTATTGTGCTTTATCCATCAGATTAAGATTAGCTTTATGACTTTGAGTTTAAGTTATTCTTGTGCATTTAAACCTTAAATTTAAACACCTAAAACGTAAATGATTGTGATTGACGTTGTGCCATAGATGATGGATGATGAATGTTGTGTACTGTTAGAAAGGTGTTGATTGACACGTCTGTGTATTGAAAGGTTTGAAAAATCACGTGAAATCTAGTTGTCTTTTTGTTGTGCAACCTACATTGAAAGAAACTTGATCATTGTTTAAGCAAGTTCTTTTTAAATCAACTGCTGCAACTCGTATGTAATAACGTCTGGCATGTGACTAATGTCAATCTCACTTTTGAGGCTTATGTGATAGAAAAATAAAACCCACGTAGGCGATCCTTTCTTATCATAAGGATGATCGGTCTTCAGTTTAAGATTCTGAGCAAGGACTGATACCATCAGGTGATGATTTATCTTACCAAAACTGTTGCGACTCGAAAATAACCTTACCAGTCAGTAAAAATAGAATAATGATTCGTAGTGGGTTGTTACACATGGGAAAACAATGTTCGGCTTGTTATAGGGTTGTACACGTCAACTCAGTTATCGAGCTGTCCTGGCGTAGCAACTTCTCTTTAAGGAAATGTTTTCTTTCCCTTAGTGGAAAGCCCTCTAGAATGCTTAACCTGAATAATAAGTGTGTATACTAATATGAACCTGGGGAGGTCCTTCAACGATTAAACTTGTTCTGCCATTCATTTCAACCGCATTTATCCGCCCTTGTATCCTTTGACACCTTCCTTTAAGGTAGAAATATACATCACAGTCTTAAAGTTCCAGTGTACCTAACATCTTTTTTTCTTTGGTGGTGGTGCTGATGGGGGTATCCATATTTTCACTGACTGTGAATGAGCAGGAGGCTTCCTGATTCCTGGTTCACATTTTGATTTGATCAGGGCTTCAACACCTGAAATTTGCTTCTGTATCTTCTGCTTCTTTTAAGTACCTTATTTTGTGTACCTATCAACTTTCTCAACTCAGGTATGCAAACCAAATTTATCCAACTTATCCTTATAATTTAATTTTTAAAGTGTAATGTAATTCTGGTGAATTTGCACTGTATTCTTTCTTAGACCATTGTATGTTTCATTGAGTCTGGTGCTCAAAACAAGGTAGTGTTCTCCAGTGGTGTCTGTTGAAGGCTATATACGATTGAAGCATTATTTCCTTACTCCTGAACTGCAATCCCCTTGAGATAAGGACCAATTTATCATAGACTTTTTCTATAATTTTGTACATTTCCATGTGCTTTTGATGATGGACCACTAAGTGAATTTGCTTCACCACAGTTTCACCTTCGAGAAATTATTCTTGTTTGTCTTTCTTGCAAAGTTCTCATAATTCTCTATTCTGAAATACATTGACCACAGTTTTGACCACTCACTGCTTGTGATGCTACAGTGTAATTTTCTACACAATTCTACACAATTTATCACATATCTTAATTTAGTGTAACTTTGATATACAACTCTATTACTACATCCAATTATCAATAAATGTGATGAAAAGTTAAAGCTCATCTTTGGAAAATGTGATAAGTGGCAGTTTTTTCCAATCAAACTCAAACATTAAATTAATTCTCTCTTTTTCCCACTTCCAAAAACAATCACTCATCCATGCTAGAAGACTGTCTCCAAATTCATGCACACTGACTGCAGCAGTTTCTCCTTATTTACTCTATCTAAACCCTTACTCATTTTGTAGACATCCTTATCAAATTTCGTTTTGACCTATGCTGCCCTAATGAAAACAAACCCATGTTATCCACAAAGCTTTATCAACCTTATAACTATTATAGTAAATCTCTTCTGTATCCTCTGCAAAAGCTTTTATACTCTTCTTAAAATGTAATGCCCAGAATTGGACCCAATACTACAGCTGGGGCTAACCTAATGTTTAATATAGGGCTAATATAACTTCCTGGCTTTTGTACACTGCCTGTATTTAGACACTTCTTGATTCTTTGTTTTTTTTTAACTAATACCTTTACGGATTTGTGCATGGATACCCTCAGGTTTCTCTGTTCTAGCATTCCCTTTTAAAAATAGTAGCATTTAGCCCGCACTTTCCTGTTCACATTTGCTTTCAAAATGTGTCACTTCATACTTTTTCCCAATTTTGTGTTGTGTCTGAGGAATATTATGCACTAGATAAAACACTGACTGTTGACACTAGAGGTAAGAGTATTGGGAACAATTTAATTTAATGAAGGGAACATTATGTAAGAGATGGAGACTGGTATGCATCCAGAATTTGTTCACTCATACAAAATAACAGATAGCAAGTTGGCAGCTTGCTTTCCATTACTCACAAGTATTTGATGGAAGAATAAAGTAGCTGAGGTGCAAATCAGGATGTACTATTGCACAAAATCAAGATATACTATAATTGGCTTTTCATAAATACTCACTAATGAGTATGCTTGTCTACCTATGAAATTCCATGGCACTGGTCATGGGTTCTGTAAAACCCATTTTCATGTAGTATAGTATAGGCGAAGTGCCTCCACATCTACTATCTGCAGGCACATTCACGTAGAAAAAGTGAATGCTTCCGCGGCATTGCTTCCCCTTGGCAGTTCTGTACAATAGTCAAGATTCACCAGTGCAGAAAGACCCACGTGTTTTGTGAATTGTCGTAGGTTCCTCTGTTCAAACAACATGAAGGGTTTAGGTAGAGTAAGGAAAAACTGTTCCTAACTGCTGCGGTGTGCATAAAATGTATGTATGAAATTGGAGGTTTTCTTATTTTTACCTGTAACAATTTGGGGGTCAGTTTTGGGTCACAACCTTTACGTTGTTTTATTGCTGCTAATGCATCTAATAAATTTCTCTACAACAACTATACTTAGTATTTCATTGGCTGCTGAATATTTTGGTATGGCCTGAGAATGTACTGTACAAATGTGTTTCATTGGATTCTTAGAGCAAGGTTTCTCAAATTGTAGGTTGTGACTCCCAGTGAGGTCATGAGCTCAAAAGAAGCAATAGTTTCCTTGGATGAGGTGTTAGCCCCTGCAATTTTTATTGCTGGTGGGCATAGTTTACTCGACAGATCTTTGAGAACTTATTGCTGTTGCACACATACACACAAAGATAGATTTTTTTAAAAAATTGTAGTATAAACAGTTCCGCCCAAGCTTAATCTCATTTATTCTTCCTTCCTGCACCACACCCCTGCCACTCAGCAGATGAAGCCAAGCCCATTGTTTCCTCCCTTCCGCCGTTCAAGAACACTCAAACTTTGATTTCAGGGTCGCTCAAACTTTTGGGCATTAAACTGACAAGATGTTTGGAAAGTACCATTCTATACCATGTTAGAGGTAATACAGTAATTTTTTTGTAATCAAATGATATGACTTATGTTCTGTGATAGTCATGTCAAGTAGATGAATACATGATATTCATTTCCTGATTTGAAACTGCTGTGTTCAATGTATTGTTATAACGTATTATTTTGAACATCGTTTGTTTATTTTGCCAATTGTCTTAACAAATCATCATTTACCAATGTGGTCTTAAATATGTTTTATCCAGAAATCTGTCTCACTGCCGACTGTAAATCTGCTGCATTCAAGTATTTTGTAGCATTATGTAGAATTTGAGTGCCAGTGCAGTCATGAATTTGACAAGCTATTTCAATTTCATTTTTGTTTTGGCAATAGTGGTGCTATGTATGCACACATACAGTTGTGAAAGTAGAGCCAGTGTAGCCTAGCTAATGGTATCTAACCTATGGAATGTTAGGCCATTTCCTCGTGACACAATTCTTATCCAGTTGTGCATGATGAAAATCACTTAAGATATAATTAAAATGGACAAGTTGGATATGAAGGGTCTGTCTCCATGCTGAACATCTGTATGACACTAGAAATCATTTACATTCTTTTTGAATTCTAGTCTCCCTCCTTTACTTCTACCTCTTTTATTTTTATCTTTGTTTCTTCACTTCTCTCCATTTTGTCTCTTTAATTTGTCACACTTAATCCCTTCCCTCATTTCTGTCTGTTTCTCCCTCTTCACTGATGCTCCCTTATCCTTCATTCCTACCCCGTCTTTCCAGTTCATTCGCTTTGTTTTTGTTTCTTAAATTTTTAGATGTACATATTTATTTGTATATAAAGTTTTTCTAATTTCTGTCTCTAAGCTGTAATTAGGAGTGAGGTAGGAGCTTGGATGATTATGAGAGTCTTGGCTGGGTGAAGCTGTAGCAATGATCAGTGTTCCAGACAGGCTGAAAGGCCCTCCTTGCAACTACTAGCTGTAGCTGTAGGTACCAGCTGTTTGCAGAGGCATTTCCTACACCCGTTTCCCCCACAGTGATACCCCACTGGCTATAAAAGACTTTTATACAGAAGGAATGCAAATTTTGAAACAGCCTCTCCCTCACTACCCAGGATATTTTGATGCTGTTTTCAAGCTTTGAAGCATTTTCTGGGTCCTGCTATGAGAGGTCATTTAGCATCCATAATTGGAAAGTGAACTTACTCGGGGAAAATCACGTTGAGCAATTTTTTCCTTTGTTTCTCTCCCCCCTCTGGACTATGGACTTCTCCCCGCCTGCGGCCACGACCACTTGGGCCTGATGGTGGATATGGAAGCCTGTGGGGGAAATTGTGCCCCATCTCTAGTGGTTGAAAGGGAGAAAAAGATGACAAGGGAAAGAGAGGGAAGAAAGGAAAGAAAAACAAACCAGCTCTTTTGCATAAATTAATGGTAGTTTTGTCATACTCAATTTTAAGATGTTTATGGTTTCTGTACTGACAATCAGAATAGAATATATCCCCAGAAACCTGCCTCATTCGTCAACTTCACAAACTAGATAAACCATCTGGTAAATACACTTCTCAACTAGCTGAGACAGAATGCATGACTAATAAT